TCCGTAGACTTGGTAGATATCCTTAGCTTCGACGCAACTAAATGAAAAAAAGAGTTGACTTGCTTTTTAACAAAGCAAGGTGTCTATCGAGATCGCTTGCCTTTATGTCATTCCTGTTCGACGCTTGCAACTTGTGACATGCTTATACTAACTTTTACTTTATTTATTTATGTATCTCATCGACAAGAAAATTAAAGAAATGCAATGCTCCACCTCTGTCTCCAATGTGATACATGCTCTCTGAGCCACTCTTTGTTTTTCATATATACTAATAAAAAACAAATAAATCTCTTTGTGTCTTTCTAAGCCGCGCATCGTGGAATAACTATATGACTGATATACCAAATGCTACACCTGAATAAGAGGAAGCCAAACTCTACACACAAAGAAAGTTATTTCAGCTCTTCTAACAATGGTAAGATGAGTCTAAGAACACATAACAGTGATCTTATGAGGAAATAACCTCCCTCACGATATCCAAGAAATTCTGGAGGAATCATCCTTCCCTCAACGTAAAAATAGACTTAGGAGATGCAAAAAGCATGTCCATAAATACTACCATGAAGAGTGGACAACAGGAGAAAGTATCAACAAATCCTTTGTATAAAAATACAAACAACATAATGTAAATACATATCAAGTTCTCAACACTCTCTGTAAGATCACAGATAAAACAGCCATATATCCATATACATCAAGCAACCATGGCGCTAGAAGAAGCCATGGATTAAACCAAAAGATTCTCAGCATTCAGCTGAGTTATAGCAAGATGGTAAGATAACAAAGCAGAAATTATTCTTTCAAAGCTCTACGAGTCCTCAGCACAGCGTAGCACCTCATGTGACAAGAAGATAGTGAAAATAAATGACCAGCATTTGATGAAAGCTTCATACAACAGTACAAGTAAGCAAAATATCAACAATCAGTTGTCCAAGCAGCAACAAATCCCAATCTCAGTAGAGCCAAAGGATATGACCGCAACCATTTTTAGAACAGGGCTCGAGGTGGGCTCTCAACTCAACCAAATTCAACAACAACAACAGCAACAATTGTTTGTAGTTTCTAATACAATCTCAGTCGGCTTCACTCCAACTCTTAATGTGATGGTGTTTTCCGTTGAAAAAATTAAATTGTGACATGATCTGCTTGATCCAATTGGCGAGTTTTGAAGGCCGAGTTGATGCAACCTTATCTGGTTTTCAGTGTACGCCAAGAACAACGTGTGTTCTACTGCTGAACTTGTTCGCAAATGCTGAGTTTTGTCAATAAAAAGAAGTAAGGTGTTAACTGGACACAAATCTGCATCTTCTATAGTAGCAATCTTGGTAGTCTTGACTTGAGTTTTCTTTGGCTCCTGTCAGTGTATCCTGTGATGTAGCGGTATATGTGAACCGTATATCGTGACATTACTTTCCGGAAACACTGTAACAAAGTCTCACTTTAGGTTTAAAAAACTTTTATTTACATATAATACAAAAGGCTATTTCCTTGTTAAAAAACGCTACCTTTCATTCCAGCAGCAGAAGCAAGGCCTACCTGCTTATTGCCCATATCAAACACTAAATAAGATGATCTCAAAATAATGTCACCAATGATGAAGTTGTCATTCAAGCTATTTTCTTTGTATGTAATCCCAAAACCGCACCTATTCTCGCTTAGGGGAACAATCAGATCCATAACATCAGTTTGCCAATGAACAGGTTGGTTCGTATCTGCGGAAGCAATCATGAGTTCCAGCTTGGCTTCAGTTGTCTTTAAGTTACAATCAACCACGTACAATCCATTGGACTGACTCATTTCAGATGATTTCCTTTGTGTTATCAGTTCAATGATCTTATCAGTCATCTCTTTTGTCAAATACGTAAACGTAGTGCCTGTATCAAGCATAGCGTTCTTCGTTGATGGCTCGGAACTGTTGCCGGCTGCGGTTATGGAAGTTGTCTGGTTATTTCGTATGACTTTGATATCTTGAATTCCTACTGACCAGTACGTATAGTCAAGCTTTTGTGTCTTTGGATTGACATTTTGCTGAACCGGAACATACTTGAGTTCGCCTGTATACTTGCTCTGATTCACTGCGCCCAATAGGACTTCACCAGCCCAGCCGGTAGCGTCCATGGAACCGAGGTAGACACCAAAAATAGGTTCTGGGATTAAACTTTGCTTTGCAAGATTGAAAATGAAAGGATCGTAGGCTAGGACCGTATCACTGTTGGCGGTAAGAGCTGGGAATCCTAGACCGAGGATGCCGCTTGACGTTATCGTGTTGTCAGTGGGTGCTATGATGTTATCTGCTACAGACGTAGCCAGACCAAATGTTTGACCACTAACAGATGTGTTGCCTAGTCGCATTGTATCTTTGGCATAATCTGCAGAAATGGAGCCTAGGCCATAAGTGATTGAAAATGACATGTTCAGAGGTTTGAATGTAGATGATTTACTGGAATCAAAAGCGTTTGGTTTGCATGCTTGGTTTGAACATTTAGATGAAGGAATCCATGTATCTGAACTAAAAAAAAATATGAATGTTGGTCTTTTTTTTTGGCTACGTCAATTTCGGTGTACCTTCCGGTGTCAAAAGAAACCATAAAATCTTGAGGCGGTGTACCCACAGATATTTTTATCAAATACTCTGTTCTTCGCTCGTTATAGAGTTTAAAGCTAGTATCATTGACATATCGTTTGATTAGTGAATGATGGTCATTCTGCCCCTTGAAGAGCTCAAGTTGGATGTACTGATTGGATGAACTTGTAGGAATGACAGCTGCTTGAGATAATATGATATGAAGCAGGATCAAGGATAAGATTGACTGTTTCCTTTTTAAGAATGGCATAGATGATAGAGAAGAAAAAGAAAAAAGAGAAAGTGAAGTAATTATATACTAGTTTATTGTTATTACACTCTTTCCAAAATGAGTACCGCTTTCTGTTAATTCCGAAAATTTGAGTGGGCCTAGACACTTTAGGCATGTTGGCGAGTTCTTTCCACTTTAAAGATGATGAAATATGATGTCCTTTTTCTCCAACATGGTTGCTATCAGTAGAGAACAGGCTATATATATGTTTTACTGTGAACCCTATAATAAACCAAACGTCGCTAAGCTCTCAAAGTTGATTGATGACATGAACAATGTCGAAATCTGTGTAGCATCCACGCTACTATTCAGTACTTAAATATACAGTCTTTTCAGAAAGTAAAGTCGCATTTTTGCAGTTTTTATAATACAATTTATACGAAAAAGTGACAAGTCAGCGCGACATCTCTTTCTGGAAATAGTGTAATATTTAGAGTTGAACCTAATGCTACTATAAGATCTGTTACACATAAGTAAATATGGTCAACGCAATTTAAATAACTCAGTTTCTTAATATATAAATATTGATTATGCTGTCATCTCTTTTTTCTTTACTTTATTTTTGAATAAAGATACACACAGCCTTATTGTACTTTCTATTTTGCCTGATTCTATTGCAAAACTAAATGCAACAATCTGCTACTCAGATGATCCAACAGAGCTAATACTCATCTGTCAAACACGAATCAACCAAAACCCTATTAAATTCAAGACGTATATCAGCAGAAATGTGATTTCGCCTCGTGTGGTAGAGAGTGAAAAGAAGCTGGAAAACAAAATGTCTGATATAAATATGTTAATGTTTACAATCTTGTATTTTTTGTACAGCAACCAACAACATATTATAGAACTATTGAATACATGTTTTCTACCTGACGATCCGGGTAATGACCAAGTCTATGAACAGAGAAATGTTACGAATGGTGACATATTTTCAATATTATGGCAATACACTGAAATATTCAACGACAAGAGTGTCATGTCATTCGGAAACTGATGCTCATCAAAAAACGTCGACTTTCTGACGTGTAAACCCCCCAAAAAAAAAAACGCAATGCTAATAATTCGATGATCCTTGTCTGATCATTGTACGTTTTAAAGGAGCAAATTGATCCTTATTAAGCATTCTCATGTTCAAAAGCTTCTTGTATGGTTAAATCAATTCTATTAGTTTCATATCGATAACTCTACTCATTACTTTCCTTGTCCTCATAAGGAGTTTTTTGCCAACATTCACTTCCAAACGGATTGAACGGATCCAGGCAGATGTTTGTCATACTATCTTATTTTTGCGCTCACTTGGACCATAAAGGCTTAAAGTATGACAATCCGGTAGTACGTGGCGTCTTAAATTAAATTTCGGCAGACTGAGAACTGCAAAGTATAATAAAAGTGATACAAATATGGCAACTAGTTCATTAAAATGATAATAGAGTACACTGTAGAATGAAAAACACCAGTAAATATAAACAAGTGTATACTAATATCATTGCATTGCTGACATGCCTCAACTTTTAATAAGATTTCTTTATGATGACATACTAAAATGAGTTCACTGTAAGTTGAATCAAGCCTTCAGTATATGCACGCAGTTTACTTTTAGATTAATAATGACTCTGGCATTCCTTCTACTGGTTCTGGTACTTGGGCATAACTACGTTTTCTATGCTTTCAGCATATCAATCACATATTCGAACAGAAATATTGATATTTTAGATTTATGTATAGAATAAACAGCGTCTTCATTTACACTAACCTAACATTAAGAAAAGCGCCTACAGTTATATGAAAAACAGTGAATGTTTGCCTATGCAAGACGTTCGACCTTGCTAGTCCCTTTCTTAATAAAGTATAACCGTGAACAATAGACAGAATGAAAGATTATTAGATTTAAGCAAAGCTTGGAGGTAACCTCAAAGTAGCATTATACGTGAATTTAAAAAAGAAAAATGCTAGATAAGAGATGCATCGCCTTACAATGCAGATACATTTGTTTAGTATCACCTGCAGGTAAGAAGAAAGAACCTTTTGAAAAAGTGCTAATGAATATGAGCTTACGTAAACTCTGCTAGGAGCAACATAAGATGCTCTTAAAAGATACACTTTATTCAGACATTATTCGCACACTGATAGAAAAATGATAATTTCAGGCAACAAATGAGACAACAGATCTTAGGGCTAGCTGGGAGAATAGCTGGTCTTAATTTGTACAGCAAAAGATCAAAGATTGACATTGAAAGAATATATGTGAACAGAACAATCGCGTGAATGGCTCTGGACTTGGTCACGGCTCGAAAAAGAGATTGAGGGATATGTAGATGTGATTGTAGTCAGCTTGTCATACGTTGCAGGGGCCTCTACAGCTGCCAGGTTACTAACAGCGGCAGGTAGGCTTGTGGCATCGTGCAGGAATCCTGCGTGTAACGTTAAGTACCTGGTAACAATAAGAATATCAACACAAGCAACAGAACATACATTTAACAAACTTGACGGTTATACAACAGAAGGCAGTCAAGGTTTAGTAAATAATGTTATATTTATTGCGCATATAAATGCTACGTGTTAGTTGTATCGTGGCGATAGAGACTGGGAGGATGCAAAAGAGAAGTTAATACCAGCATTGAAAAAATGACAAGGGTCACCTCTACATGTAAAGTTGCAAAATCTTTATCCGCTGCCAGGTAAAGACTCTGATAAAGAGGAAATTAGACATATGAGAGGACAAAAAGTAGCATACATGGTTGAATATAATCGTGTAGCATTTGGAAAGCCAGATGAAGAGAGCGATTATGACGAAATAGAAGGTTTGGGTACAGCAACTATGGGTTTTTAGAAAGCGAGAGGTTTCTATCGTGGGCCAAAAGAAGCAAAGATAGACTCTTTACATATAGGGAAAGAAGGTTTATAGTTTGCTTTAACAGTACTTATATCAAAGCTCATAACTCAAAACGTTCAGTAACTGTCATTCTGGGATGGCTGTTACTGAACAAACCTTTTTCTTTAGCGTTGCATTTATGTAAAGTGTAGAATTAATTGATTTATTGCTGTACAGGAAAAGTCTAAAAAGAAAAGACCATGAAGAGCGTCTCGGAAGTGGCTGTATTTCTATCATTAGTCGACAAATCATTGATCATAAAAAAAGATATAATTGGCAAAAGGAGCCTTATAAGGCAACCTACCGTCCTGTTGGTAAGTTTTTAGAGTGAATGACGAAAAGAAATTTTACGAGAGGCAGTGTTTCAGCACAATTAATGCCGTATTGTTATGTATTCATGACAGCCCAGGACCAACGATCTGCAGCGCATGATATCAGCGTCTATTGTCATTGAATAATTAGAAACGTCAAACAGTAAATGAGATCACAATAAGATAATTTACATATTTAGAAATTTTATTGATAAAATTTCTTTAACCTCCTTTTTAGTATTTGAAGGTGTGTATATATCCTTGATGCTTTCTATAAAAGAATGATCAGAAACATAAGACAATAGTTACCTGATCCAACTTATTTTTAAATACGACTTACTTTTAACCGAGGAAGCAAGGTAGTGTCTGGAAAAGAAAGCACCGTGGTTTTAAATGGGCGGAGGCAAAAAATCATGGAAGGCTATTAGCCTAGTATGATATAGGCAGGCTTATATAAAAAGGCTCATGTTTTTCTAGCCATTACCCCCATTATCCAATCCTTTCTCTCTTTATTATTTTTCATTCTTCTTTTTTTTTTTTTTTACAATATAATTGCATTTTATTTCACATATGCTTAAACAGTTAACAAATGAGTCCGAACAAACGCTCACTATGAATACATACTTTATAGAAGAAAACGACGAAAACAAGAGACTAGATTGCATTTTATCATGCCCACAGCAACTTGCTTGCTTTCAAGCTTATTTACAAGAAATACATGCTCATGAAAACTTGCTGTTTATTGAAGCCCTATCAGAACTGCGACATGAAAAAGATATGAACAACATTGAGGTCATTGTGCTAAGGTACTGCAAGCATTGGGATCATTGTAGCACTTGTGCCTAATCAAATGCTTAGAATATGGAAAACTTTTTTTAGTTCAGACTCACAACTGGAACTCAACGTCTATAATAAAGCCAGAGTGAATACTTATTTTCAAGCACACAAATGGGCGATAGTTACAAAAGAGGAAGCCTTGAGTATATTTAGAAACGCTGAACTTGAAGCAAAGCAGTTCCTTGTAAGACCACTTTTTTTTTAAAAAAAAAAAAAAAAGTTTATTTTGCTAACAAAGACGTGCTAGAATGAAAAAGTCATTGAATTTGATAAAATATATGGTCCACACATGTAAATCATGATTGATTATTATGTGAATAAATCACTTACTTTTTTTTAGGCCAGTCAATCAACTTTATTCACGCTATAAGAAGAGAGTCGTTGTCATTGGTGGTGGCTTTACGGTACGTGATTAAGTTAAAGTTTAAAGTGCCTGTGTCGTTAACTGGTTGTACAAAACAGGGTTTCACCATTGCTTCGATATTAGACCCGATGCCACGTTTTCATGTTACCCTAGTAGACATTAAAGGTAAAAAGAAATAATAGAAGAAAATAGAAAAAAACTAAAAAGAATAAAAAGATTCCTTTGAATATACCCCTGGCATGATCAAGGTACATTCTATTCGGCTTTATTGAATTAACCTATACTTATATGTATTTTAGCTACTCGTTAGACCTGAAGAAACATCTTCATTGAGAGTTCGACATGACGCATATGTCAAAAACGGTCGGGTGGTTATCGGATATGCGGAAAAAATAATTAATGACGGTAAAGCTGTTCAAGTAAACAACGAAATTGTAGGTCAAACAGAAAAAAAAAAGATAACCTTATTCTTAACTATCTTGCTTTTTAGATACCCTTTGATTATCTTGCCATATGTACTGGAAGTAGATATAAATCAAAACTAAAGTCTTTTGATACCTCTTCTTTATATCGACTATCAGAGCTTGCTAATGAACACAACGATTTAAAGAAAGCCAAGTCTGTCTTAATCATTGGTATGATAAAACTAATAAAAATGAGAAACATTTATTAACAGCAAAGCATAGGTGGTGGCTTAGTAGGCTGTGAACTAGCAAGTGAAATAGCTACACATCAATACCCTCCACCATACGACTTCAAAAAAAAGATTACCATCGTTGACTCGCATCCATGTTTAGTGAGAAGAAGTTCGGCAAAGAGACAGCAAAATGCTCTAAATTACTTTCAAAGCCTTGGCGTTGAAGTCGTTTTGAATGAAAAGATCGTTGACTTTGACTCTGCCAATACAAATTCGTATCTTGGCTCGAGAGGTACTATCTTCAAGGGATATGACAAGGTATTTTTAGCTACAGGAACAAGCCCTTGTAGCGAGCTCTTGCAAGACGGAGGTGATATCGGATTTGAATCCTGTGTAGATCACTGGGGTAGGGCTCGTGTCAAGCCAACGTTACAACTTGACCATTGGAAGTACGATCATATATTTGCAGGTGGAGACATAACTAATGTAGTCGAAGAAAAGACAGGATATGCGGCTACATTAGCTGGTGTCTGCATCGCTAGAAATATCTGCCGCATGGAAAAGGGAAAATCACCTCTAAATCAAGGAAGTAAAGGCACATTGCCAGCGCCCAAAAAGCCATTACATGGTATAGAATCAAATGGAGGTGTTGGACGACGTAAGTTACTTATCATTCCTTTCTTAAATTTACATATAATAACAGCATAACTTTAGGACAACTAAGTGCCTTTAAAAAGACATTTTCCTTTCTTAATCCTACATGGGCAGCATTAAAGTACTTTGACGAAAAGGAATTCCTGGAAATTGTGCAAGGTGAAGCAAGGGTGGTCAAGACAGCAGTTGGAAAAAAACCTAAGATCCTCGGCTTACCGGGAAAACTCAAGCTCTGCAAAAGTAAAGAACAACAAAAACAGCAACCAGCCCCATTGACATCTTTCGGGTCCCCAATATCGCGTATCTTATTTCACAAAACCTCGACTACCAATCTCTCTGGATCAGATGTGATTTCGAATTCAAACTTTTCAATGAATGACGCCGAGAGTGAATTCAATTGTACATGCGTATCAGATAGTGAAAGCGACCATCCATATGATGATGATGATTATAAAAGCAAGACGGTACAGCAGTTCTTGAAGCATGACTCATTGCAACCTAGGCCACATAGCCTATCTCCTGGACATGCTATATAATTGTTCTAAATTGTAAATTTTCTCTCATCAATTTTGTGTACATGCTGTATTTGTTTTTAATAAACCATAGTATGACTTTAACGTACTCTATATGCTCTCATGTGATGTAGACAACGGAATGAGTCCGTGGGTGAACCGAAAGAGTGAAATGGTTACAAGGTGTAACTTTTTGTGCTATCAAGTGAAATGCATTGACCGTTGTTAACATGCGCTTATTTTGACGTCATTTCGTATTAACATATGGTGCATTGTTGAAATCGAAGCACATTTGTATTATGATGACGTTAGAACGTAGTTTACCTGGATATACTTACGGCATTGTAAAAACATAAATAGACAGAAGGGAACAGTGTTGCCATGGTAACAAATAAAAAGAATAAAAAGAAAAGAGAAGAAAAAAGGAGGCTGTGGAAATAGTGTTACAGACTATGGTCTTCCTCTTGTCTATTTTTCAAATGTATTTCCTCAGGTCTTGTGATGTTTTGTTGAAGTGATTGACAAATGCTCTCCTTTTTCTTTACTTTCTTTTTTAGGAAAAAAAGTTTATGCAATAAAAAGCTGCTGATACAGAATAAGGTTTTGTAGCAAGTGGTTCAAAACAAACAAGAGTAAAATATAAAGGGAGAGGAGATGGCCAAAACGAAAAATCACGTATAGCTTTATGTAAAAAATGGGAAAGGAAAGTTATAAAAGGATAGATGTGTGAGTGATACACATAATTTCATGATGATAGTAAGTGAGGCAAAGTGAAAGAGTTGCTTCCGAAGAGCGTTTTTGTACTACACTGCCTCTATTCAATAAGGGTAAACACTGTGTTCTCTTTTGTTCTCTCTTTCTCCCTCTGTAAATAAACAAATTACGAAATACAATTTCTTTCTTCTTCTTCCTTTTAGTCACTTGTGGAAATGAATAAGGTAAACCCAAGTTTCAACACATGAAAGATATTAACAGCACTTGTAGATTCATACTGATATCTTGAAAGATACACCATTCCATTACGTTTGTAATGTTCATAAGGAAAGATTGATTCCTATTTTGAAAGATCACAACATTTCTGATCAATGTAAAGAGATTGGTAAACAGATATTGAACAACACAAAGCGACCTTTGGTAACTTTATATCGATTGTCTACATGTATCATCTGTCATTCGCTAACTTGTTACATATAGAGCCAACATGTGGATGTTCTTATCCCTCAAAGAAAAAGAAGTGAATGTAAATATAACTTATGCCCCACTTTACACATAGAAACTGAATTTTTAAACATATAGTTGAAAAGTTACAAATTGAGCAATTTAAACAATTTTTTGGTAAAAAGTATCAAGAGCTGCAGACGAAGCAACAGTCGTCAAGACATCAAGACAACAACAATAAGCCAGCAACTGTCACAGAAAAAGTATTTATTATTAAACATTTAATTTTAAATGATATTAAAACTGATATAATCACGAATTAGTTTACCACGACTTCAATTACAAGCTCATCTGCAGCAAATAAGATTTTGGAACTTATTAAAATTGAAGAGTCATATGTTCACTCGCTCGAAGAATTGGTCAGTAAAATAATGAAGCCACTAAGAGACTCGATCCATCATGAAACACCTATCCTTGACCGATACCTGTTCAAACGTATCTTTCTCAACATTGAAGACATCCTGCATGTCAATTCCAAATTTTTAGATTCATTACATGAATATCAGTCTGGAAAATCAAATGAATCGTTTGGACAAATTTGTGATAGATACATGGATACCTTTGAACCTTATAAAACTTATTTCTTGAGTAAACAAGATGCTTGGAAAGTTCATCAACAGACCAGAAAGAATAACCGGGCTTATTCGAATTTTGTCATCAATACAAAGAGTAAAGAAAACTATAGAATCCCAGATTTATTGGCACTTCCTGTCCATCATATGCCACGATATGTATTATTTTTTAATGGTAAAATATAGAAATGGGAGTACAATAATCCATATTTGCTAACAACACGTCATAAAGAATTGCTTAGTATGTTGGACCCTCAGGATCAAGAAGCATACTATTTACGATCAGCTTCAGAGAAAGCTAGAATTATTAATGACATGCAATATGGCACAGACTCGCCATTATTACCATTATATACACTTATAAAAAATGCTCCGGTATATACACAAATAACAAAAATGAACTTGTCATTCATCCTTCCCTTATGCGTAGACTACTTTTGTTGGTAAACGCCAATTATTAGGTCATTTTGATGCCACAGAACTTTTTATATCATCCGGTAAAGTCAATAGACCTGTAACCATTTTGGTATTCTCGGACAAGATTGTGGTCATCAAACGAAAAAGTCACTCGATACAAGGAGATGATTACTTTAGAAATATCGAAGAAAGCATCAACACTGAAAAGCCAGTTTCTCAGCCCTTTGAATTCAAGGGTTGGGCAGACATTCGATCCATTGAACTGTTTAATGGCTTAAAAGGTAACACGAAGATGAGACATCGGTCCGAATTGCTAAACTTTGTTTTTATTTAGATCGTCCCGAAACTTTTTTCCTTAGAACTTATTTACCTGAACAAGATCCAAACACTCCTGAGAATGATGCCGACAATTACTTTAGAAAGAGTGATAGACTATATGCAATGGTCTCAAAGGACGCACCTTCTTCTTGCATTGAAAAGAAGAAGGAACTTTTAGAGCTATGTCAAAGACAGTATGCGATAGCAAAGTTGACTGGTAAAATGATAACAATATGAATGAGAATATATCACTCACTGATCATAGAAAAAACTGAACTGTACTGTGATCATAACAACTTTACTATCTCTGCTTTTGCAAATATTTATAATGATGAAAAAACATACAAACAAGCCGAATATAAGGTAGGACAGCCTCGGTTTTATCATTGATAAACTAACCAAGTATATTCAACAGAACAATATCTTAATCATTTATATTGAAAACGAGAAAATCGATTTGAATTCATTTGTAACAGATGATGTATGGATCGTAATCCTAGTCAGAAAAGAAGGTAATGGATATAAGCAAACTATTCGCTCAAGAGTGAATTTGATACCTATTCGCGAACTAAGTCGCGAGCTTGAGTCTGAATTTATCATAAAGGATGACATTCGTTCCCATGGTAAATCACTTGACTTTATCAACACTTTATGGAATAACTGTAAGCTACCTGAACATATATTTACATTACATACTAACCCCTATTCATAGGCTTCTTTTACGAACGAAGGCTTCGCGCTACTGAAGCTTACTCTTGTATCCATGATGGGCTATTACGTCAAAGAGCAAGGACTCGTTCTAGATCGAGATCTCTCACTAGAGTTGCAAGTAACATGAGCATCGGGCGCCTGTTTGGTGCCAGATCCCGCTCTTCCTCTCCTTCTAGAAGCTCTATTTCAACCACAGAGCGTTTGTCTCAAGATTTAATCCTTGACCAATCCACAATCCACGTACCTAATCCTGTCCTCAAAGTGGCCACAGTGAATAAACATAGTACGCCTCCTGCAACACCTGTCAGCCCAAATGGCTATTATACTGCAGCTCTTGATGGTGTCACAGCATCAAGAGCCCCCATGGCTGCAACACCGCCACGGAACAATGATCTGTTTACTAAAGAAGATTCTCAATTCACAGACTCCTTTAACGAATTTTCAACAAGTTTTGAAGAAGGTGATGCCTTGTATGGAGGTCAAAACCAGTACCAAGATAATTCATTTTATCGTCCTTCTCTTTATCACGGCCATAACAAGAGTAACAGCTTTGATGCTATGCTGTTCCAGCCGTCATCACCTGAATCATTATCGAGGCCATCGAGTGGCACAAGTCACAATAGCACCTTTGATGATTATGCATTCAGCCCAGCTGATTCTGCGTCTTTGTTGTCAAGCAGAAAGAATAGCGAAAACAGTCCCTTGTATAATTCTGTTAGTAGCAACAGCACGAGTAGTGTGTTCAGCTATATGGATGAAAAGATAAACGAGTATTTTGCTTCACGAGATAGATACAGTCTATCCACTGAAAGATTTGGAGACAACTCTAAAGCTGCAGGAGGTTACCGTCGAAGGCAACCCCTTCACCCTGTGTTTTACAATCAACCGCAAGCAAGCCAAGGTCAATGCCGTGATTACTCTTGTGTAAATGTGCCTCAAAACGTACCTGATGTGGCTATAGAAAACATTCATCAGCTGAAGAACGAGGTGAACAGTATACTTGATAGCATGATACAATCCCAACAACAGATGAGAGCTCAGCCAAATATGGGCCGATACTATAATAATAACACATTTGAAAGTGTCAAAGGACTACGTTCTGTAGGTTTACATGATTTGAATGATACCATAAACTAACTTTATTTGAACTTAGCACATTATCTCAAAGATTGATGAATTTATGAATGATTTGGAGCACCAAAATCAGCAATGTTTATCATTCCGTTAATCCTTTTGTATCTACACGCATATACATACATATATTCATTATATATATACCCCCGCATTCATTTTACGCTTCAGTCATTCATTTTAAGTGTATTTTTACTTCATCCGTTTTGCATTCAGTATGCATTCACTTATTAATATCCCCCTTATGTTTTTCTCATTTTGATTTTACATGCAACACCTGTTCGGTATGGTTTCTATGATGTTTCAATAAATAAAAGCTACCTTATTCTTTTCTAATTTTTAATAAGTAAGCTGTCTTTATTCGTTAAGGAGGACATTGCAAATTAGGTGTCTATTCAATAGTTATTGCTATTCAGCACTCTGTTGTAAGTTGGTAATATATTCGGTCATTGCATCTATTTGCTTCTGGTAATTTGATTCGGTAGTAGCCAGCAAGTCTTGAACATGTTTCAACTCTTTGTTTAATTTCTCGATTTCTGTAAACATCTGCTGTTTTTCCTTTTCTTCTGAAGCAAGTCGTTCTTTCATCATCTTGTACATATTTGCAAACCTTAAAGCTTTACTATCTGTCATTTGCAGCTTCTCTGATAAGTTATTTATTTTCTGCTCATAAAATGTTTTCAATATAGCAATTTCATCCTCTTTTTCTTCCTTTGCTGCAGGCGGTGCATCCATGCCTGTATAGACAAAAACCTCTTCCTCTTCCTCTTCTTCTTTTGTGGGGTATATAAACTTTTCTTCGTTCTGTTCAGCAATTGTTTCTGTTTGTGTTTGGTTATCAGTCACTGGTTGCCTATTTATATGTATCAGCTCAATCTCCTGTTGAAGTCTTGTGTTTTCTTTTTCGAGCTTTTCATTAAGCGCTTCTAACTGTTGTATCTTTTTTGCATAACCCTCTTCTACGGATGCATGCTTGATTTTCTCTTCTTCAAGCTTTCCATTAAGCTCTTCTAACTGCTGTATTGCTTTCGTATAGCTTTCTTCCGCTGATGAACGCTTGGTTTTTTCTTCTTCTAGCTTTTCATGCAGTATTTTAACGTTCTCATCTTGGCTGTTATTTACTTGAGAAAGATGTTCTTCATATCTTTCATTCAACTTTTTAATTTCATTCTCGTATTCTGCTAATTTAGCTTGACCTTTCTCTTCGTTTTCCAGAGATTGGCTCAGCTGGTCTTTTAGTTTTTTCAACTCTACCGAAATCTCTTCATGCTCTTTTCTCCACGTTGCATGTGATATAGCTAATTTTTCAGCAATCTCATGCGGCAGTGGTATCGGAGAAGCCTATATAAAAAGTTCAAAAAGAGAGTACATTAATACAAGTTCATGCAATACCTCAACGATCGTGTCTTGGATAGACTGAAAATACTTTTTAGCCTCTTCTTCTAGTTCTTTTAAAGAAGAACTATCTTCTGGTAGAATGTCATTCAGACCTACATTTTTAATATCACCCACTTTTGCTAATAGAATTGCACGTAAACTGTCAATTTCGGATAAAAGCCGAGCATCATTCTGCTGCATGTTGTCCTCTAGATCGTTTAATAAGGATGTTTTTTCCGCAAGCTTTGATTTAAGCACGTCAATTTGCTGCATTAATGACTGCTCTTCAGTATTCAACTGAGGTTCTTGTGATGGCACGCCAGGTTGAAGCGACTGTCCAGTTTCCAACTCTTGAACCTTTTCTTCTAAATCTTGAATTTGCTTCAACAAGTTATTGATGGTATTCGTAAACTCAAACTGTCTCTCTGTGAGCTCTTCATGAAGTATTTCATTTTCTCGTATCTTTCTTTCCAAATCTAAATTGGCTGCATCCAGTGCCTGTGCACTCTTTTCTAACTCCTTTTTAACAGAACCGCCAAGTAAGGAGAAATGACTTCCTTTCTAAATGATATATAGTTTTAATAAATTAATTTGTTTTGCATAGGACTTTCTAACCTGGTCACTTTCTTGTACAGCCTGTATACGTTTTGTTAACCTTTCGTTATGGAAAGATAAAAGATCTAATTGTTCTTGAAGCTAAAGAAGGTGGTAGTATGAGTAAATATATACGCATACTCTCTTTTCTTTTTACCTTTCTTAGTTCTTTTTCTTTTTCTTTGACATTTCCTTGTAAAGCTACGTTGGATGCTTGCTCCTGACCACTAGTTTAGATGGACACTGTTTTGTTGATTCCTGAGGCCTACCTTTATAACTGCTTTTTTCAAAACAGCATGTTGTGCTTTTAATCTTCAGTTCAAATGTTATTTAATTTCCCATTATTCACTTGTTTTACTCTAACCTACCGAGAATATTGCTGAAAGAGTTTTGCATATCTCTGCGATAATTCTTCTGCTGAAGCAGGAATGGTGCCTAATTCACAGTAAGTATACTGTACTTGTGCAGTGCTTGACTATTTCTATTGTACCTGCATTCAAAGCAGTATGTTTGGAAAATAGTCCATCGCTCATTATCAGAATTAGAAGCAAAAGAAAGGATTGAATATACTTTGTATGACGCTCTAGTTCCTCAGAAAAGCAACTGGCTTTTAAAAAGCGGTAGGTTAAACACGCGACCTCATAATTGGTAGGGCGCGACTTTGAGAAATAGTTGTCTTTGGAGGTATGCTTAACTACTTCATGGAGAACTTGTAAATATATACTGACATCTTGAGGCTTTTGCTTTCTCTTCTAAAACTATTGAGCTTGAAAAATAATCTACTGCCAGCTTCTTTCGGGAACAAAAAGTACTATTGGAACAAGAATGATCAGCTATGCTTCCATCGAGAGTTTGTATTCTTTGTGTACTGTATTTAATTCATTTGAAAGTATCCTTATGTGCTTTACTCTTGTTGAACTTGCTTTCAACTTTCAGTGTAAGCTTAGATAGAAGCGGGAGCAGAATTGACGGAGACAGTAGAAAAGATTAATGCAGCATTAAAAAGTTTAATACATCTTTTCTTAAGGCAAAAACATTCTTTAGTAAGAGCTGATATTAGAAGTCTCAAAAGTGAATACACTGACTTTAGCGGGTCTTGAGACAGTTGATATACGAGCTTAGCTACCCTAATTAAGGAACTCTCCACTTTTAATGATTATGTGATTCTTAAAGAAAGAAAGACGACTTATCCAAGAGACGACGCCCAAAGAGTGGGAGCTCAATCTGTTCAGAAGTAGATTAAAGAGCTTTCAACTAGTGTTTGTCATTCTGTGAAAGTAATATAAATAATGAGAATATGTTTATTTTGTAATTAAAAGAAAAAAATATGCAATGCTTCATACCTCTCTGAAAAGCTATTTAAACTATTATATAAAAGAGGACATGTGGACCCTTTATTCTTCAAAAAGCATTCTCTTTTACAAAGAATCTATTGTGAGCAAATTGTCTTTATCATATTTTTCATTTATTAGATGCAGCCATGTCTCTTGTAAGTACTATTTATACCTACTTCTGAAAAATGTACTGTTACTGTTTCGCCTTATGCTTACTCTTCTTCAAAGTGCACTTAAAAAAAAAAAAGAGCCAACTGAGTGCTCTTTTATTAGCGAATAGCAAATATCTCTCACATAGTTGTCAGGCACCCCTTCATTACAGTTGCAAACGTAGAACATTCGCTGAAACGTATTCATACTGCCATCCGTTCCCATATCTGCTCTTTTTTTTAAAAAAGGAAAAAAAAAAAAGAAAATAGACTATTTAGGACCGGCTCAGTCTCAATCTTAGAACTTGTATAACGTAATTAGCCTTTTCGTTGACGTGATTTCGTAACTATAACACAGCATAATTCCTTGTTTGCTATTGTTAGGTAACTACTTTAACTATATACTTTATTCAATAGATCCCTTCTTTCCATATTTCTTTTTTTATTTGCTATTGTCATTATTATTGCTGTTGCAGTTTAATAGCTGTGTTCTCCTTACTTGGTCCCCATATACATATATGTCATAATTATCCGATGACAGTTGAAAGCTTTTTTTTTTTTTAAAAAAACAAATTGCAAAAAAAATGTAAAAATTACACAAAATGATAAGCTTATAAGGGTCGATCATATGCTTTGGTTACCTTTTCTCTTCTCTCCTTTCTTCTTTCTCTTTCTTCAGTTGCTTGTACATTATTTAATGGAGTTTCATAAACAAGAAGAGGATCCTATTTCATTGTACAGTCATGAGCCATCTAATTCAAGTACAACGACAACAACAACCAGTCGAGCAAGTTCGATAATAACCGTCTCTCGCTCTTCTGAAATGTCAGATTCACACCACATGTCTTTTACTGCTGGCGATCATCATTATCTTCATAAGTTAATAGATGATCTAACAATAATTGATGATCTATACAGCACGTTTGAAAGCGAATCTGAATCAAGCTCCTATGGTAATACTTATAAAGATATATACAATGTTGTTCCATACTAATAGTTGAAAGAAAAAAGAAAAGCAAGTCCTTGATGCATCGCGACATGTGGTACACAAGCAACAGACACTCGACCGCATAATGCAATCAGAGACCACCTACCTAAATAGATTGTCGACATTTCAAGATACATTTGTGCGTGCTCTAAAGATATGGCTTAATAATACAGAGAAAAAGGAAGCTACAAGAAAGATAAAAGGCACTTCTTTGATTGAAGCTATGGACAGTCTAGAGCAGAATCTCGGTAGCTTACTTGATATACACTCAAATTTCTTGAAACAAATAAAAGAGAGGTATGCTCTCTAGAATACATTTCTTAAAGTCGTCTAATCAGTTATTAGATACAGCATTTGGGGCCCAACACAGTTGGTATCTGATATCTTTAACGAGCTTGTATGTGCGTTCATGACAAATGACAGCAGTGAATTGACAATTTCATATAGTTTGTCAAGCTTCCGGCAGCACACACTTTGTTTGTGGAACACTATGTCGATTACCTAATTGCGTTTGATACGTTGTTCAGGACTTCTTTATTTTCAAAATTTATGCAAGTAAGTAAAAAAAAAAAAAAAAAAAAAAAAAAAGAGGGGAGAGAGCAAAATTTGATCTTATTCACCAGTCTACTAGATCAACAAAAATGATACCGTGCAGCTCCAAAAGAATATAGAGGAGATCGTGCATTATCTCGAAATGCCATTGAATCGATCACTTGTATATGAAAAAGCACTTCAGCAATTAAAGCACCACAGTGACCCTAAGCATCCAGATTATACCTCTATTGCCAAGATTGCTGAAAAATTTAAAGGATTTGAAGCGGAATGGGAAGAAAGGTAATGAATCATTGAGATATAAGACTGGCATGTTCTAAAAGGCGTGTTTATTCAGGAGAACAGACTGCTTTTCACGCCTGGCAGTCCTTCAAACATGCTTCACCATCCAAGGATGTCCAATAACAGTGACACGAAGAAAAAGATTGTTGCTGTCAAACGCGTTTATCCATGTCGACGTGGATGATCCTTCATCTACAACCGATATCAGAATATACTACCTGTACAATGATCAGCTAATACACTGTAAAAAGCAAAAAGAAAAGAAAGATCAACCTACAGCTACGGTCTATAAAGGAACAATCATTCTCAAGGACTCTGATGTTCAGCCCTTGCAGCCAACAATAATTGAAAAGATAAAGAAGGGTAAAAAGCCGTTGTTCAAGATCGGAAAGAGGTCAAATGATCCTGCTGTACCTGTGGCAGACAGTGAAATTTTTGGATTTGAGATAATGACTAGAGAATATATCAAACCTTTGGAGCAGACTTATTTTGGAAGCCTTCCTGTGGACGTTATTCCTGTACTACGCCGATATGTAATAAGAGTTCATTCATTAGAAGAACAGAATATATGGTATGAGACTATTCGTAAAGCTATCAGTTTATCAAAATAATCGACAAGGACCATCCTTATGCACAACTACTTTTCTTTATGTATTATGTCCAATTTTGTAATTTTATACTCGCACCTTTTATGTAATATGCTTATAATAAGATACAAGTAAAGCGTTCATTTCTTTTAAAAAGACTCTTATCCCATGTATATCTTTGTGTTTTATCAGCTTTATGAAGAGTAAATTTAAGAGATTGATGCTGCAGAAGTCGATGTTGAATCATTGAAAGGACGGGACAAATCGTCACAGAAGCATGCCTCTGAAGACGTCATCGAAAACAAGAAGTTAATATCATCTTCGCATGTTGGCACATTTTCTTGTTTCAAACAGGTGTGTGTTGTTACACCATCAATTACTTTGGTGCCCACGAGTAGTAAGTCAAGCTGACAAGACACGAAGTTGATATATATTTGCTGCATTCTTCAAGTGGCAGCTTAATTATCCTTTCAATATTGCATAACACGTTCCCTTAAATCATCTGATTTGCATTTGTCTTTGGAAGACATATTGGGGGTCAGCCCGCCTTCATAAAAGAAATCGTCGTTTAAAGAGCCCGTTGTTAGACAAAATGAAGTCAAGCTTCATATTTTTGTTCAGCAGGAATATTTCCGTCTCTTTCAATGATTTGGCTATCGAAGAGTGATATTTGAATCTAAATTATACCTCTTGGTTCCCTGTTCTGACTTTACAGAGGAAATAAATGCAAATAGGCTACCTTTACCTTTACCATTGAACATTTCATTCTCAGAACGTGGCTTTCATAACTTTTTGAAAAATAACGCTATCCCGCCACTTCTTATGCGGACTGTGAACCTGTCCTTTTTAATAACTTGATTGAAAAACATCAAAATTTTTCATTTTTATTTTTGCATAAAATGGCAGCCAAGCTTAGACAAAAAAAACTCGACGCTATTGCTGCTGCTGCTATGCCTCCTGGGCAAAAAGTCATTGCTCAGTTCAAGACTGCAGAAGGTGAAAGCACTGGCCCTCCACTCAATTTACCTGGTGATGCTACTCCTGAACAACTAGAACTTTTACTTAATCAGCTTTTAAATCAGGTAATATAAAGTAGAGTATGGATTCTCTTTTGTAAAGGCTAATCATTCCTTAGGGCGATGATCCAGTTCCTTACTCTTTTTATGTTGGAGAAGACGAAATTAAAAAGGATCTATGGACAGATCGTAGAGATAAATCAACCGAAGACACAATTGTTATTGTATATCAGCCTCAAGCTATATTCAGAGTAAGAGCAGTATCGCGTTGTACGTCTACGTTATCTGGACATACAGAAGCTATCTTATCCTGCTCATTCAGTCCTGACGGATCTCAACTTGCCACTGGATCAGGCGACTGCACAGTCCGTATTTGGGATCTCAACACAGAAACACCCAAGAGCACTCTAAGAGGACACAGCGGTTGGGTTCTATGTATCGCATGGTCGCCCGATGGCAGTACATTGGCTTCAGGCAGCATGGATAATACAGTCAGATTATGGGACCCCAAGACAGGCAAACAGATCGGCGACGGTTTGAAAGGACATAGGAAATGGATTACAAGCTTAGCTTGGGAACCTTATCATTTGAATTCCAAAGCAAATAGATTAGCAAGTTCTTCAAAGGACCATACAGTGCGTGTTTGGAACACTTCCCTAAGGAAGATGGAGTTTAGTATCGCTCAACATACGGCAGCTGTAACTTGTGTGAAGTGGGGAGGTGAAGGTCTAATCTATTCTGCATCACAAGACAAGACAATCAAGGTCTGGAACTCTTCTGGCATGCTCATCAAAACCCTCGAAGGCCACGGTCACTGGGTGAACACCTTGGCACTCAGTACTGATTTTGTACTTCGTACAGGACCTTACGACCATACAGGAAAGCGCCACAAGACAGAAGAAGAAGCCAAAGCAGCTGCTCTTGCAAGATACAATGCACTCAAGGGCAAAGGCTCAGAACGACTTGTCTCTGGATCAGATGATTTCACCATGTTTTATTGGGAACCAGAAAAGAGTAAAAAGCCTATTACGAGAATGACTGGACATCAAAAACTAGTAAACCATGTTGCCTTTTCACCTGATGGTCGATTGATTGCAAGTGCTTCCTTTGATAACTCTGTCAAACTGTGGGACGGCATGACAGGTAAATTCATTGGTAACTTGAGAGGCCATGTTGGTGCAGTATACCAAGTCGCTTGGTCAAGCGATTCACGCATGTTAATAAGCTCAAGTAAAGACAGTACACTAAAGATATGGGATCTGAAAAAGATGAAGATCAAAATGGATTTACCTGGCCATCTCGACGAGGTATTTGCCGTCGATTGGTCACCTGGAGGAGATAAAGTTGCAAGTGGTGGTAAAGACAAGCAACTGAAGATCTGGAGACATTAGACATTTGAACATAGAATATTGTGTATAGTTTTTATTGTTAAAAAAAAAGAACTCTATTTTAAATATTACAACATTTTTTGGTATCTACAAGTGTTTTCACTGTCTTTCTCTGTTTAACAGCCAGCGCAGACCTCTGCATTAGGTGCATCAGAGGTTTCCTTCAATTTCTTGTTACTTTCCAAGTCTTGTTCAGTAGAAGTCTCTGACAAGTTGCGCTTCTTTTCATTGTTGGATTCCTTGTCCTTTGCATCATTTTTGATAACTGGCTTGGGACGAATGTAGGGTTGGCATCTCCAGTAAGAATATTTACGAATACCATCTTCATTTGGTTCGCCTTTCTCCTCAGCGTCTTCTCCTTTTTCTTCAATTTCTTTCAACACTCTTTCCTTCAAATCCTTGACAACACTGTAGAATTCCTCGAGCTCTCTAGCTTTTCCAAGGCGTGCTCTCAAGTCAGTGTGATGGGGTAAGCTTGGGTGTAAGAGCTTGAACATGTGTCCTTTGATCATGCCAGGATTTGTCTTTTCAACTTTACAAATATCCAAATACTCTTCAGCAACCTCAAATGTAAAAGGAGGGAGCTTTCTTCCAGCGGAAAAGATGGCAGGGTTATATAAACTACCTTCAGCTGTCATGACCGCATCCACACCGGTATAATCAATGCACCTTTGAATATCTTCATAGTACAAAATGTTACCGTTAGCAACAACAGGAATCTTGAGGGCTTGCTTTACTGCCTTGATCTTGTCCCAATCGGCAAGGCCAGTGTTATGCCCTCTTTGCTCTCGTAATCTACCGTGTACAGTGAGCATTTGAGCACCAGCAGCTTCAATCATTTTGGCATAAGCAATTGTCTTTTCAACAGTTGGGAAACAGCGAATCTTGACAGTGACAGGAATGGCTAATTCACGATGCAAGGTAGATACCATTTTTTCAATCAATTCCCACTCGTCCTGCAAGAAAGAGCCATAATGACCTCTTTTGGCGATATTTTGAGGACATCCCAAGTTGAGATCTACAGCATCACAGTCATTTTCTACTAATTTAGCAGCTCTCAAAAGAATTTCTGGATCATTGGCACAAAACTATATTTATTATTAGAATAAGAAATCTCTTGTTTTTTTTTTATATGTTCATTACCTGAACAATCAAAGGGCGATCGTCCTTATTTGTCGTAAACTGGTCATCTCGATACTTTTTGGTTTCGCTAAAAAGTCTTGCATGGAACATTGGGGTCACACATACATCAGCCCCATATCGTCTACATAATATTCTATATGCCAGTTCAGACTGATCTACCATGGGTGCTAAAATGGTTCTAGGTGACTTTAAGGTCTTGTGAAAGAACTCATATCCCGCTAACTTGACAGGCGCCATGCTTCTTGTATATAAAATAGTAAATAATAAAAAAAAAAGAGAAAATTTTTATCAATCAGATTTAAAAAGGGTTGATATCAAAATAATCTGATTGGTTTGTTGCTTGGTAACTGCTTTTGCCCCTGCTTCGATCTTTCCAGCGAATCATTTTTCTTTAAGAGATAAAGCACTGTTTCTTCTCTCTCTTTTTTTCAATTTATTTCCATATTGAATAATGACTTATTTTATATAGCTCGAGCTTACAGTGCCTCTAACTCTAAGAATTTTTTCTGGATCATGGATAAGAACCATTATCCATAACCAAATAACAATTCTTTAGGTAATTCCTGTAAAAGTCATCAATGGCATTGATCAAGAATACCATAAGTTCTTTCTAATCAGTCTCTACTTTTGTTACTTTACGACCAACGTCAGTATTATCGAGAGACCGATACCGACATAAGACAACTGATTTTTTCATTGCCACTGTGGTACAGTCAAAATAATGACAAAGAAAATCTAGTTAGTCTCTATTTAAACTATTTACTATCGATCAAGTCGAGAGAGAACTCATTATTAATGCACCTTAGTTTGTACAGCTTTTAAGTTTGGTTGACCTTCCCAATGATATCATCTATGAAGAAGAAAATCACTATCAATGAAAGAAATACTATGTAAAGGTATGGGAATATTCAAGCTTATTGTTGACACTAATCTTTTCTCTTTTAGTAAATGATGCACCCATAATAAGTTGAGTCTCTTAAACAACAGAATAAAAAGAAAAATGCACTGTGCAATAAACATGATTATTTTTTTGTTTTTTGTTTCTCAGAAGCTCACTTTTTTATTTCATTTGTTTTTTCGCCATGTCAACCAAAGCGACTAAACTCGTATTTAAGGGAGATAAAGGAAGCAGGTAATGACTATATTTAACAGTAATTGCATAAGCTTATATATATATAAAAGTAAAAAGAAGAAGAAGAGTCGCTCCAAAGAAGAAGCTGAAAGAATAGCAGCAGAAGCAACAGAACAAGGTGAATTTATATACGCCCATTATTATATACCTTGACAATAACATAGATATGTACAGTATGGGTACCAGCAGACAGTATTGAAGATCTTGTTGGACCACTCTTTATCACACAGCCAACAGATCCACCTGTGTGTCTGACGATAGATGAGTTTGATCGGTTCATGGCATACCCACTACCAGACCTTTACGAGAGACCACCAGAGCCTACTATCGTACAACAAGTCTTTGTTGGCTCTCGTGTGGTTGGGTCAACTGGTGGATTTGCTTTTAAATCATCCAATGGAAAATATCTAAGCAGTGATAAGTTTGGTGAGGTCCAGTGTAATACTGAAGCCATTGGTGGACAAGAAGAGTGGCGTCCTGTGATCACAGACGCTGGATTTGCATTTGAAAGCGTGTATAATAAGTATTTGATGGTGGACGAAGTGGCAGGAGGAGGATTCAGAATTCGTGCTGATGCTGAGGATGTTGGGTTCTGTGAGACGTTTAGAGTCTATTGTCAATCCAGATTCAAGAATAAACCAAAATCCAAGTCAAAAGACAATGATGATGATGATGGAAATGACGTTGAATTGATGTAAGTATAAATAGGATAACAGTAGAAAGAAAGATGATACTGATAATAATGACAGCAAAAAATATCAATCTTATGGAACCAGCAAAGTACAAGGTGGATTAAGTAAACGAGAACTAAAAAAGGCAAAGAATGAAGGTCGTTTGGCAGAAGCGTTATTAGAACAAAGATCAAAAGCGAAGGCTGATCGATACTGTAAATAATATATTTTGCAGCAATAAATATGAATCTTTTCTTTCATAGACTGACGGTTATCCAAGTGAGTGAAGTGAATTGGGAAAAAGGTGATTCTTAAATAATTCTTGACCCTATTAATACTGTTCCATCTCTTTTTCCAAACGCTTTTAACAACTTGTCGAAACCTGAGAAGATGTAAGGAAAGTACGCGCTGTCCCTCAAATATAACATCTCGTAGAGTTATTCAGGCATTATAAACCTCAGTAGAATATTCACTCACATTTACTTGTTTCATATCAGTACCTTTTCTTTTTAATAAACTATTGGCATGTATTTAATCTTAAAAAAAGAAAGAAGGGTTATGGAATAAATGAACTACTAATTTGCTTCGGTGGTTGCAGGTGCAGCTGTGGTGGTATCGTTTGCAGCAGTTGTTGCATGTGGTGTAGATGATGATGTCGTTGTTGTTGTTGTTGTTGAAGGGTCTTTAAATGCTTTTATCCAACCACTTTCCACAAAAAAGTCATAGATTCTGCTTGTTTTATTTACATCGATCTTGATCAGAGCACGAGCCTGTCTTCGTTTTAAATAGCCTTGTTTTGCATATTCCTTTAGTATTGTGTCCTTGATCACTAGATAAGGTCTGGGCATAATACGTAATGTTGAACACAATATCTGTTCTTCTTCTGTTAGCAGGTGTACACCATCGGCATCTCGAATGTTGAGTGGGTTCGCAGGCTTTCTTCCACCCGCAGGAGCAGCTGTAGCAGCAACTGTAGATATTGTAGGTGTCGCTGGAGCCTGAGCTTGCCTTTCTTTATAGTAGTTTGCACCATTTGAAGTCACAAGTGAAGCCATTTGTGAGCGGTAGGTATTTCTTTGGCTAGCGCTTGCCCCAAGTCTATCGTTCGATAGCGACATGAATGTTTTCAATTGAGCCAACCTATTCTGTTTCTCTCGCTCATACTGCTCTCCTTGACGTATAGTGGTTAGACCAGCCTGCCTCCACTCTTGCAACGTAGCTATTCTGTCTCTTAGCTGCTGTTCTTTCACCAATCCTTTTACAAACGTTTCATAATCCTCTTCCGTCTGTAGTCTGCAAAAGACACGGGTTTTGTTGTATATCTCACGCTCTTCCTTTTGACGTTTTCGTTCTATGGCCTGCATCCGCTTAAAGTCTAACCACCGTCTTTCAAATATTAACTTTTTCCGCTCCATTCTTCGATCCAGCCGAGAATTGTAAATATCCAATACCATGATCTTCAAGTCAATCTCCTCTTGTGTATCATCGTCATTGAATACCATATCTTTAACAAACTGCTCTGCATCATTTTCATATTCTGTTTCAAATTCAAAACGTCTAGGCATATAACCTTGTATTTCATGATAGGAAGGGCCACTGGTGATAGGTTTTGATGTATTTGGCTGTGATAGAGCAGGTTTTCGAGGAACAAGTCCACGCGATTGCTGTAGTCGCTGACGCTTGCGTTCGCGGCATTCCACTTCGCTCGTTTCAAACTTGAGGTCCATCCTCGGCAGTGGCCAATCTGGACTGGAAACATAGACATCAAGGTAATGCTGTTCACAATCTGTCTTGTTCTTTGTTCCTACGTAGTCTGCAATAGCTTGCCAGTTACCTATGCCCATCTTTTCAGCTGCTTCAATCAGGAGTAATTCTTCGTCAGCATCCCAGTCTTCACTAAAGATCGGGAAATTATGAGGCTTGACTATGCGATAATCGTGCCAAGTTTTATGCTTCACGGGCTCAGCGCCACCACAGAAGCAAGTGACGCAGAGATCAAAGTCGGGACAGTCTTTATCTGCACATCGTATTCGAACTGTGTTTGTGACATCATTAGAGCATGCGTCACAATGGTATTTTGGTGGTTCTTTGTCATCAACAGAAACCGCTCCATCTGAAGTTAAATTAGACGAACTTAGAGCGGTTGAAGAGGGCTTCTTTCTGTGGGTGATGGTCATTTCTATATTTATACAGGATATTCTTTTTTGGTGAGGATGTATGTCAGTCAGTTCAATCAAGTATCACAACAATCAACTCATGACTGCTTTCCCACCATTTTTAAAATAGGGTGACGTGAACTGCCCTCCTTTCTTTTTTTTTTCTTCTTTATTTGGCACCTTTGAGAGATGAAGCTAGGTCGACAAAAAGAGGACAAACTTATTCTCTCTTTACTGAAGAGCTTGGAAAGGCAGAGACTTGCAAAGCCTAAACAACTGTGATGAGGCTAGAAGGGCTATCCTTGCTTTGACAAACACCATTTGATGTATAGTGGTGCTTGTGCTGTTGCCACTCACCAATCTCTCTTTCTTTATTTCAATCTAAAGAAGTCTAAAAATTGTGTTGTGTTTAGAAAGTGATCTACATTACATCTCTATAGTAAGAGCATCGACATCATCTTACAAAGTTGTAAATTTGACTTTAGAGTATAAGGCTTCAATGATGACCATAGCGTAATGAACGCTTTCCCTTGGCACTCTACCTTGTTAAAAAGTAATATCTCTTTTTTTTTTCTTCTCTCAAGAAACACAGTCTTGTAACGCACAAGAATATACTCTATTACTTGATCTAACACAAGAGGAGCGTGTAATCGGCTGCATGCTAAAGGCCGTAAGTTAGTTACATACAATCCTTCTATTGAGCAAAAGTAATAAGAAGCACAACCAATTTGACTCAACTACAGGAACATCACTCTCACTAAACTAGCACTTGCAAAATCTGAAAAAAAGGTTTCTCTTTAATTGGATATACAAATTATAGAGACACAAGAATATTCAAAGGATGGCTGATATCCTATGTAACAAAAGTAAACTTGGCCGATGTTACGTGTTCTATTCATCTGCAACTTGTAGCAATATCGCTTCCGGGGACGTCAAAGATGAAGTTGAAACGTTAGCTACACTAAAAAATACTCATGACAACACGCAGGGTATTATTCAGAGTGTTGCTTATTATATAGATGTACCTATTTTAAGCCAAATGGCTGACCTTAACTTGTTACAGCTAAACAAAATAAACAATAGTAGAAGCTATAATATGAAAACTCAATGAAATACTTACCCTTTAGAGCCTATTTTAAGTCTAATTGAGAAAAAGGTGTCTGTTAAACAAATGCGGCAAGTAAGGAGAGTATGTAATATAATCATTTTTCAACCAAATATTGCAGAAAACAGTCTACTTTTTCTCTCTTTTTTACCGTGCATAAATGAATTAGATAAAACCTTTTTTCCTTTACTACTTTTTATATATAAAAAGAAATGCTAATTTATTTGTATTTACAAAACTGCTAATAATGTTGTTGTTGCCAACCTTTTCTTGAAAAGGGGTTTAGCTTCAGTCGAGCCCTATCACAACATCCACCAGGCATACAACAAGGGAAGCAAGACCACCATAGACGATGACACCAGTTCCAGATAGAAGGACTTATTTCGATTGAATGAGCTGTATTTATGGTACTGGTGTATGAATAAGCGTCATTATCGTCATCATTGTCATTGTTATGGCTAATATGACTATAAGGTCGTTTAAAGTCAAGTATTGATTTTAATGCGACAGAGTCATTTCCAATTGACCTTAATAGATTTTTGACGATAGTTTCATTAATGATTAAAGCCGAAAAGAGGGTAAAGGTAAAGAAAGGGTTAAATAGCTTAAATGGGTTGGTTGTAGAGCAAGATTCGATATAGAATACTGATCGATTTAATTGTGCTATCAGATGAGTTGAACTATAGCAGTTTAGCACATAATGACCGTCATCATTCTCAGTTGGTATCAGTCTCCATTGGTATAACTGTTTATCGTACATAAAGTTGAATTCCTCTGTTGACAACGTAATCTCTATGTTATTCTCACTATTCTTCAATATCATCTTATGCCAATCCTTGTCGATCAGCCTCCATAGTGCTGTCTTTCGATTATCATGAATTGTATTGTCCTGCTTATTGTAATAATATAGTATCTCTTTCTTGGCATTGGTAACCATAATATCTTTCTTTTCTTTATCATATTCAATATATAATTCTATCATCCTATTGTGACTAATACTAGTGTTGCTGCTATTGGCTCCAATTGAATGTCTTTCTGTTGTTGGAATAGGTTTTGGTATACTGATGTCATTCTCTCTTGCGATTATATTTGAGAAGCTCATAATTAGAAAGAAAGAAAGAAAGAAATATGAAGAAATATAAAATAGTTATTTTAAGAAAGTTGCACATGAGTTACAATAACCAAAAAAAAAGGAAATCACCTTTCTTTGGCTTTAAAAAAGGTGGTGGTATACATGGGCGTACATATCGTTTTCAATCTTACAGTGCATGTCGTACTTTGAAAAAGTATGCTGTCGACCTGATGTAATGTTGATGAACTCTGAACTTACTGTTGCGCGCGTCTTGATCATGTTTTGTTAGCGAAGGTTTTATTTTTATATAGTTTAATGACAACATATATGTTTATATATTCAACTCCTCATCCTTTTCAATTATTTATTTAAACAGAATCTAAGATTAAATGTGTTAAAACCATTCTTTTTGTGTTTATCCTTTCCTATTTACCAGTGATCAACTTGTTCAACTTGGCAAGTTTAGAAGAAACAGTCAAGTCAATGCTCTTGTCTCCAATTTCAACCAAGATACCGCCAAGAATATCGGGCTTAACCTTGTTGGAAACAAGGAGCTTCTTGCCTTCAGCAAGGTTGCTCTTTTGAAGGGAATCAACAATCTTGTTCAAAGCAGCCTTTTCCAAGGGCTATTATATCACAGCTATTAGTACTAAGATTGAGCGCTTTTTATATATATAAACCCACCTTGGCTGAAGTAACAACGAGTGGTAATTCATTACGGTGAGCACTCATCAATTCACTGTAGGCTTCAATCACCTTGTCAAGGGTGTTCAAACGACCGTTTTCGGCCAAAACTTCGAGCAAGTTGTTGGTCAATTCACTGGGCTTACCGGCCTTCTTGGCAACATCGCTAAGGCCATTCAACTTGGTAGCGCGAGGAACAGTGGGGTTTTCCAAAAAACTCTTGAAAGCAGTGTCCTTCTTGATGGCTTGGCCAAATGTGTTGAGGTCCTTCTCAACAGCTTCAAGATTGTTCTGACGGGCAGCAGCAGTGTAAAGTGCAGTAGCATAGCGACCTTCAAGACCGTAAAGGGTGATGGGGGCCTAATTGAAAATGTCACTTAGGGTTAATGTCATTCATCGTTTTATCTAGTCTCTCTTTTTTACCTTGACGGAAGCAGCAGCGTAGCCACGAGCCAACTAAGAATGACAATTAGAACATTTCTGATTTTTTAGTAAAGCGCAAAAAGGTATTTTACCTTGGGGACAGCAGTTGTCAAACGAGTGAATCGAGAAGCCATTGTTATACTTTAAGCTAATGTATAAAAAAGAGCAATATTTTCAAGCTTAAACACCCCCCACACACACAAAAATTGTATCAGGGCCTGCTGGTAACAAAAAAATCTAGCGCCAACGATGACGTGGATGTCAGGTCGGATGTTAAAAAACAAGTGGCTGGGGAATTTGTATGCAAAATGTGCGAAAGTTGTAACCAATGAAGCTGACAAGGACAGTGGCATTATGACGATAACCATATTCTATGTATGCGATAGATCCCAGAAATAAGGTCACAGTGTAATATTTTCTTTTATTTATACTTGTAATAACCGCCTCCTTAACCTTTTACTCTACAAAAATAACGGATCAGAGAATTGTAACAACAGTGGTGAACTTTTTATCTCCATTTGATTATATGCTTAAAAAATGGTTGAGTCTTTATTTCATAAAACAGGTAAATAATTAGCTTTTATTATCAAAGTTATTTTGTACGCTTGTAAATCTTGTCCATGAACTCAATAAAGACTTGCTTCTTAAGTCCAACAGATTCATCCAATTGTTCAATGAGAGCAGTCAACTCACGATAAGACTTTTCTTCATAAGCCTTGTATGTTCCTTCAATGTCAAGATCAATGTATAACTGCTTAACCTTGGCTTCGGCTTCAGCATCCTTCTTTCCATAGTTTTCGTCCAAGGTCTTGCGTTGTTCAGGGTTAGCTTTGGCCAAAGCTTGGTTGATTAACCAAGAGCACTTGTTATCCATAATATCTGTACCAATCTTGCCAATGACTTCAGGGGCACCATAACAGTCAAGATAATCATCTTGGACTTGGAAGTATTCGCCTAAAGGAATCAAGATGTCATGTGCGCTCTTGAATGCCTTTTCATCCTTGATACCAACCATGTACATTCCCAAGGCAACAGGGAGATAGAAAGAATAATAAGCAGTCTTGTAAATGACAATGAATTGATGTCTATATTGCAAATAATTAGTTTTCGTATACTAAAAGATCGACAATGCTGTTACTTTTTGATAGAGAATTTGCTCAAATCGACATGGTCTTCAGGAGCAGTAATGAGATCACAGAGTTGGCCGAGCTCAGTTTGGAAAGTAACCTAGCGATGATCTTAGTGAATGCATAAACTCACTCATATACGCCCTTACCTCATGGAACAACTCAACGAGTTCAATATAATAGTCTGTGTTTCTGAAATATTTCTTCAAAAAGATGTAGATGCAAGATTCAAGAATGAAGGCATCATTGATAGCAACCATACCAACACCTTCAGTCTTATACCAACAGGGCTGTCCACGACGAGTGATGGATGCGTCCATGATATCATCAGAAACCAAAAAGAAAGCCTGAAGCTACAATAAAATGTAAATACATTCCCCTCCTTTCCTTTTTATACTACTTACGAATTCAACAAGCCAACCAAGGACGGTGGCCTTGAAGATATCGTCTTCAGTGACTGATTCTCCCTTCAAGATACGAACGGTGTCGACAACAGAAATACCACGGTTCAATTTACCTGTAAATTGATAAGATACTATACTCTGATACAAACATGATCTACTTTACCACCAGGAACGTTATAAAACAAGTTCTGATAAAGAGTCAAAACACACGCGTTGGCTCATGATGATTCATCTTTACCTTCTTTGTCCATTCATAAGCATCTTCAGGCATGTTGTATTTTCTAAGCTCAGCAAGGACTTCATCTGCTAAAGTGGGAAAGACAGAGAGGAAAGCTTTTCTGTTTTCTTCCTTTTGTAACTTGACAGCAACCATATTCACGAATAAACAAGAAAAATAAAGTGTGCGTTTTTTTTTTTTTCTGTTCCCTGTACCTTCCTTTGATCAGGTTTATAAAAACTCAGCCAGTCCAGCTTCGGCTCAAGTCACAGACAGTAAAGTTTTTTGATCAACTTTTTTTTTCTCTGTTGTATCACAACCCCTGATTCCTTTGCAGTGAAGTAAAGGACAATAGCTGATATGCACTTGGTTCATCATTTATCTTCTCCTTCCATATTTTCTTTTTTCCTTGTTTATCCTTTTGAACATTTGGACATCCTGTTGCAAATCAAATTTTCCTCTAGTAAAGCAACAGTTCCATTTTGAGACTAGCTATTGGCATACACAATAATAAGCTTATAAGAATAGAATGAAAAAAATGGCCTATCTAAATAAACCTTCAAAACCTGTTTTTTTTTAACCATATCTTATTTTAGAAGTGCATAATGTCAAACCAAGTGCTTTGATTAGTTTTGCGAAACAATCGCGGATGTTTCTATAAGCGTGCTGATCCTTTTTAGTAAGTCAGGCACGGATAGCATAAACTAGTGAGAATAGCATTATTATGCGCGATAGATAATAAACATGGATAAAACGAGCGCACTCATAAAATATACTTGAGTGTGTGTATATCTATATCACGGAATAAGAAAGTCTAAAAACAGTATTTTATGATGAAACACGCATGTGTTTAAATTGCAAGTGTACACAAACAAGTCTGTAATTTACATTTATTCGTAGATGCCATTAGGAACAATACGCTTACAGCCATATGCACTTCTTCCAGCATTACAGTCTTGGTAAGTCTTGCAACTATAGAAAAGAGTTAGTTTGGTTTACAGATTAATTACAAGTAACTTACCATCTGATACAATAAGTAGAATCGTTGGGTTCAATCATGTTTACATAGTATCTATAACCGTAACACATGGACAATGGAGGAGAACCTCTGCCATGGTTATCATACTGTCCACCTTCGTCTTGGGAAGAAAGCTCCCATAAAGAAGGTTCGAATTTACCAGTGACCTGAACATAGCCAGCTTGATCATCAGCGTAGTAGTGAGCAGTCTTGATGAAACCAACTGGCAAAGTGCGAGCACCAGGGGCCTTCACGTTAGGTCTGGTACAGAATGCAGCAGCGCTCTTTTCAGAGTTTGCAATGGCATCCTTATCTACAACACCACCATTATCTTCCTTGTTTCCGGGACTTCTGGGTAAGAAAATACAAAAGTCTTGGCCGCTGGAAAGTTGAGCTGTCAAACCATAGTTGTAGGTATAGGTAGGCGTTGCGGCTGTTGATGTCGTTGTGGTAGTGGTGGTGGTAGTAGTAGGAGCTGTCGTTGTAGGTTTTATTCCAGCGTTAGTTGGCTTTTGCTTTGATGTAGTGGTTGTGCTCTTGGAAGCCTTTTTGGTAGTAGTCTTCTTTTTGGTGGTGGTCTTCTTCTTAGTAGTAGTCTTCTTCTTGATGGTGACCTTCTTCTTGGTAGTGGTCTTTTTCTTTGTGGTTGTCTTCTTCTTGATAGCTTGCTTGGAAGTGCCTGTTTTGACACAAAGTTTTTGGCCAGGCTTGACATTACTGCACTTGGAATTGACTATATAAATGGATTAGAAAAAGTCCACGCGAATGAATTATTTCAAACTTACGATTGGCATTTAATTTGTGCAATACGCTAGTAGAGACATGTGCATGTTTGGCAATTAAACTACACTTTAAAGAAGTAAGGATCAATAAATGAAGATGAATGTATTTTAATGATAGCATACGGATTTATCTGAAGAAGTAACAGTATACTTTTGAACACAAGAAGGAGCTGCATCTACAGTAAGAAATGCTGCTATACATGCAACAGCGATTGCAATGGGTGTACGCATTATTATTAAAGGAAAGTAATGAGTTACAAAGGAAGGAGAGAGTAAGAATAAAGAATAAAGAATTGCCAAAGGGTTTTTTATATTTACTGGGTAGTTACACATATTACTTGACAGTGATACTAATTACCAAATATTGATCAAGTTCATTATTTCATGTGCTTGTATTCAATTTATTTTTAGCTCAGAGAAAAGAGTGATGTCTTTATAGAAAAGGAGAACCACTTTAATGTATGAAGCTAACTTTTCTTACTACCTTATTTTAGTATCGTAGCCAACAGCTTACTTGGACGGAGTAACATTGAAGTGCTATTTTTAAATACTTGGGCGATCATGAAAAAGGGATCAAATAGTCATAATATTCTAAATTTGGTAATGAGCCATGTCCTATTGTTATCTTTTTTAGGCAAGATGTTAGACATGTAACACGGTGTCTTATTTTATTTCTTAAACGTGATCCACACGTCTGCTTTGATTTGGTTTACAGCTGTAGTTTCTAGGCCCATAACGATAGACCATAAGGAGGGAATAAGTTATAAAAGGAATTGTCTAGGAGTAAGTCTTCTTTTAATCCTGGAAAAAGAACGTCTACGATCCATTTAATCTACATTTAAATGTACATTGGATATAAAATCAGATAATTATGAGGCAAAAGAAAGAGCTTGATCATAAAGTAACTCTTCATATTCACATTCTACAAAGACTTCTCTGGAAAATCTCATGAAAAAAAAAAGAGAAAAGGTGCTTTCTTACTTCAAAGCCGTTGTTTGCTCAGGAGACACGGCGATCTATTGACGCCTATTTTCCTACTCACTTTTAGTAATTAAACCATAGTTTTGCACGACCTGGTTATGATGTACAGGAAAGATCATCTGCATTTGACGGCATCCCTTAGATATACTATGGCTAGAATCCATTTGAAGTTTGCCAGAAGCGACACATATACCCGCCTCTAACCACCGCAAAGCGCTCTTCTTTCTCTTTTAGCTGTAGCCTGCAGAAGGAGCGTCATTCAATGAGTTACTATCATTTACAACAGACATACTGATTTGTTCTTCCCACAACTAATTATAACAAAACGCATAAATATAGATAATGAAAAATTTTAGCCAGGAAGCTGAAGAAACTTTGACTTGGACATTTTTAAAAACTCAAAAGCATCACAAGCCCATGGCCTTTTTTTTTTTCTTATCGTTACTGAGATGGGATGAGATTGATCCAAATACCATAAACACGCTTCGCTGATAAAGGACTTTGAAAGTCAGCGACACCATAGAGACTTCAGAGTTATCCTCGCCTCTTGATGAACAATGACACTTGTGACGCTGTCTTCAACACGTCCGCCACAACAGATGATACTATCACATATGCTTCTTTTTATTATTACTTCATACTCAATTAAAATTATGCTGAGGGATTATGTAGTCATAAAAAAAATATACTTACTAGCTGACCATCGTAACAGTGTTGGGCTTGTTCTACAGTGCGTTTCATTGAGCCATATACAGCTAAAATATATTTGATACAATTACCCAGAGCGCTGTATTGAAGTCCTAATCCACAGTAAATACATCAAGAATAAATCTACAAGCTGAATCCCTGGCTGTAGCCCTTTAGACAGCATGACGTTAAGAGCAGCCAGAATCATAATCACCATTAAACTCATCAAGCATATAGATACAAGTTATGTAGTAAACTTTTAAGTCATTGACTATACATACTCTCATTAAAACAGGATACAAAACACAGCTTCAATAATTCCTAAAAAGCGTAAATCCCTTGCAATCGACCTTGGGGATTGTAAAGCAAGCTATCATTATCTAGGTCTGACATAGTATTATGTAGCAATAGTGGTCGTATTTACTACTTTTACTGACAAGCAGCTGAATAATCATGCTTTGCAACAAATATAATTCAGGGTGATTGTGTCCAATATAGCTCGAAGGTACAAAATGAATCAACCATAGCCTTCTTGTATACACTTGATATAAGAGCAGAAGAAAGGTTTGATATTATTTTTCTTTCTCAACATTACATAATTACCCATTTTATTGGCGCTGTACAAAAGAAGGAAAAAAAAGAGTCAATGAACTATGTACTATGATGAGATGCTAGTTTGTTGGAGGTGTTTCAGCTCCTGAGTCATTAGCTATATAAAGCGAATAGTTTAGAGTTTGTCTTTCAAACCATGGCAATATATTACCTGATGCTTCTGATTGTTGATGAGGTGAATATTGCATTGGCTCCATCATCACAGGCCTTTGCATCATCATGGGTGGTCCACCCGCATTATTCATCATCATTTCAGGTGGATAGCGCATCATCATGGGCGCTCCTGTAGATGCATTAGTATGATGATTAACATTAATGTTTGGTCTTACCTTGATATTGATATACTTGTGGAGGCATGCCTTGAGGGACCATGGGCGACCTCTGTGGTGAAGGGAATCCTTGAGGGAATGGTGATCCATCTAGTACATAGTATTGAGTTTGGCTTTATCATCTCTTGTTATTATACTTACGAGGTGATACGTTAGCCATTTGTGGACTATAGGCAGCAGTAGGAGGCACTGCATTAGGTGGCATTGGTGCGGATATGGGTACATTAGAAACAAACTATACAGACACAATTAGATATTAGTTTAGAGATAAGGATTTTACTTGCCTGAGGACTCATATAAGGCACACCTTGTTGTACAGCCATCTGAGGCACGCCAGAGACATACTAGTAAAGTTTAGTTTAAACTGACCGTTGTTTCAATTCACGCTTTTACCTGAGGGTACCGATATTGAGGGTAAGCATAACCGTAGCCTGGAGACGGATAACTGCCAAATACATCTTCATCATACATATTGAATTGGCTGAATTGAACCCGATATGATTTACTGCCAAAAGGCCATGTGGGTCCAATAGAATTGGCACTAACGCTCTTTTTCAAGAAAGGCGGTTTGAAGGCTTCTTTCATCGTTATTTTGTCATTGCCTAAATTTTTCTTTGGATGCTTGTTTCCAAAAAATGAGTGTGGATCATCTTGTTGCACGGATGTAGTTAAACCGCCTGGGATAAATGCAGCAGCAGATGGATTAGGTTTGAACGAAGATGCCTTTGCGTTTAGCTTGAATGTAGATCCTGTTGTTGAACCAGTATTTGTCGTGTTCTGAGATGGGGTGGGCGTATTTGCTTTGTTTGCATTAGTGGTAGCATCTGCAGCAGATGTAGCGCTTGCTGCTTGAGAAGGCAAAGGCGATTTGGCTTGTACAGGGGAGCTTTTCTTTACCGGTTCTGTAGTTGCTTGGGTTGGTGTTGGAGTGGTGGCGCTAGGGGGCGTTGATAGTTCTGGTTTTTTCTTTTTCTCGTCAGGAGACACAGATCCCACTGAGGATGTACTCATAGCAGGAGAAGATTTCTTTCCTTTAGATAGTAGCGGGACTAGATCTGCAGGAACCGGGACATTCAGCTTGAAGGTTTGATGGAACATCTTCAGCTCAGCCAATCTTCCGTCCTTTTCTTTCTTTTGCAACGCTTGCTTCTTTGCATTGAGCTTGTCTTTTTCCATCATAGCAAAATGCTTGAATGTGCTGGCTATTTCTGATTCAATTCGCTTTGGTGGTTCGTTGTCTTTTGTCTTTAGGGCTATTATTAATACTGGGTAATGGCTTTATTTTTAGCATTTACCTTTTCTTGCCCTTTTTCGTTAGATTCTCTGCGCGTAGTAGGTAAGCTGGCGATAGGTGAAGGGTTTGATCCAGTAGACTTTGGAAGATCTGAGGTGATGATCTTATTGATCGATTTGTTATTACTCCTTGTTTCCTTTTTGGCTTGCTGAACATTCTGTTCTTGGCTCTGTTGGGATTGTTTACGAAGAGCTGGAGGTATGTACTTGTTACCATCTCTGACAACAGCACCGTACAAATCCTCTTCATCTAAACCACTATCATCAATTGAAATACCACGTTCTTCCAATATGTGCACATTGGTCGCTGCAGACTATCATTAATGTTAGATCAACTTTTTCATGCAACGCCATATGCTTGCTTACCTTTTGAATTTCATTAGCTACCTGTATAGCCTTCTTTTCACGATCCTTAAATCCAGGAGCTGATCTATTTAAAGGAGTTGTATATATTTCTTCATCAAAATCTGTCTTCAATCCAAACAACTTTTCATTAACAGCAAATTGATCCCAAGTGGTTTCTCCAGAGGATTCCAGATCACCATCCAAAAGACCCAAGGCATTATCTTCATCGGTTGGCGCCCACTTGTGTAATTCTCTTTCTTTTATTTCCAACTTTCCTGTAATATCCGCGTCTGTCTTGAATGCTATGTAAAAAAGAGAAGGGAAATTTATGCAAAATTAGTCACGTATGTGTATTTTATCAACCATGACTTACTGTTACGCTCCGAGGCAGCATCGGTCAAGTCAACAGAAGCGACTGTAATTTCCACCAAATCCTTTGAGTAGATGAGCAAAGTGTTTATGATTGGGTTTGGATTGGTCTTGTCTTTGTCAATAGGAGCTAGAGGATCGAATATTTTCTGAGCTAGACTCAAAGCAATTGCCAGATCACCCTCCGTAGAAGCACCGTGAAATATTCCTCTAAACTTACAACCATTCTTGACGGTAGCTTCAACAATGGCACCCTTTTAGGAGTAAAATAAATGAATGTATTTAATAAACAATGATTTGTCTGCTTACTATCATGTTTCCAAGCAAGAAGAGCATTCTGTCGTGCATTTCTTTTGCTGAAGCTTGATCTTCTACAATAGCCTCACTTGGATTGGAATGCGCGTTATAATTATTATTACGTTGTGATGGGTTATTTGCTGGCCATTTCTTTACATTATTATTATTGGTGTTGTTGTTATTTCCTCTATTATAATAATTAATACATTTTCTTTTTAAAGAAGGTCATTTCTAACCTTTGTTGCTTGAGATGTGAGCCTGTTCCAGTTTCTTGTTTCTTTCCCTGTGTTTTTGAGAAAGCCATGACGTTGATTAACAAAGTTGTACTTGTCTTGTTGTTATGAGTTCGTGTTGTACAAAAACGATAAAAAAAAAGGGAGAGAATGGATGAGGCTATAAAAGCGTTCTAAACTCCGAATGTCTAATAGTCACGCAACAGAAAATATGTAGACTATATTTTACGATTCAAATCTTTTGTGTTGATAAAAAAAAGTACCCACCAGTTTCGACATGAGAAATATTGTGAAAGGAGTTGTCTATGAGAGCATCAGGAGGTGTCTTTTGCACCAGTCAAAGATGTTGCTCTCTAGTCTATGCGACAGTTTATATGCTGAGTTTCAAAGTTAACAAAAAATTATTTATTTACAGTCATTTCAAAAAGTCATTACTTGATCATGGATAATGCTCCAATCCATAGCTCATCTGACATAGGAAAGTATATCCATTGTCGAGGATACTGGTATGTAGATCTTCCTTCGTATTCTCCTGAATTAAATCCAATTGAACAATTCTGTGCAGCTGAATTCTGTGCAGCTGTCAAGAGCAAAGTGAAGAGAAACAAATTCTTGGAAAAAGAAACGCTAATGACCAGAATTGCTGAACTATGCGATAGTTTATATTTGAGTGACTTCAGAGGCTTCATTTCTCATTCTGTTAAACGCTTCAGTAAATATCTCAACAAAGAGAAGCTGTAACGACTCCAATCCCTGAACAGTCAAACAAAAAAAAATAAACAAACAATAAGTCCTGGTGGGTAAGTTTATTCAGTGCTCTAGATCTCTCGATGAAACAAATAAAAATCCACATATAAAAGGACACTATATAGTCATGGATAATGCACCTATTCATGCGCATGAAAGCATAATGTATAGTCCATGATTTGTAAGGACTCTTCTTGTTTCGCGTAAAGAACTCGAAAAAACATATTCTTTTTTATTTTATAAAAAAAAAGCGAGGGTATTCATATCTGTCGTGAGTAATGTTAAAATTTTGGTTTTTTGATAACACATTTTGAAGTAAAGAATGTGTCATGCTGGCTAGATGTTCCCAACGATGAACCAGTAGTATCATAAATGAAATACAGTCGATCCAGATTTTTTTGTTGACTCAATGATGCCTGAGCTGCTTGATCTTTGCTGACGATAAAATAAGAAAATTCAAAGTCGTTTCGAATTGAGCCAAATCCGCAGTAGATTTTGGCATGTTGATTATGCCAATCTTTTGCGCGTAATAAACATCATTAATATCGATGATAGCAAACATACCGTTTTATTAAAAATAAATTTCAGAAAGAAGATAAAATTATAGCGTATATGAAAAAACTAACATCATCTGAACTCAAAGTGGAAACATTAGCACGCTCTACTCGTATTTCACTTTGCAGTGTATTAAATGTCATTTTAATCCCCGATAGTGACTGTGTTGATGACCATGGTCGCTGTCCTCTTGAGCCCCTTCCTTACCAAAAAGTTTTTTTTTTTCAGACATGTTTAGATTTCTCGGTTCACAGTTAAAAGCATACAAGAATGCAAGCACATCAAAGTGTAAATCATTTCAAAAAAGAAAAAAGAAACAGCTAATGATTATATATTAGTGAGCTACTCAACAGTTGTTAACAAGACCCCTAAAATAAATGTAATGGAACATGTGTCAAAACAACAGGTCGAAAAAGCAAATACTGACGGTCGTCGTGAGCTTTTTTCACGTAACAACCCAAATGGAATCAAACCAGGATCTATTGTTATGGTTGAGACATTAAACGGACCCAATGAAACAACAACATCTACATTTATGGGTGTCTGTATTGCCATTCGTAGAAAGGGCATAGATACCAACTTCACCCTTCGTAACATTGTCATGCGTATTGGTGTCGAGCAGAGATACAACCTTTACTCACCTTTATTGAAGAGCATCAAAGTGATGCAAAAGCCAAACGAAGTCAAATTCAGAAGAGCTAAACTGTACTATTTAAGAGACCAACCTGGTAAGGCATTCCAGTCACTTCAGGGATTGTGGAAGCAGGAACAATTAGACAAGGCAAAAAAATAGAAGACGTTTGTGTATAAAATATATATAGCCAATAAAAATTTTATTTAATTGAGTGCAACTGATGGAAAGTAGTGGACCTTGGCAAGTCCCACACCACCACGGATAGTAAGCAGTTGATTAATGGGTAAATTATTGCGTAAGGTAGTGAAAGCAGGTAATTCACCATCCGTCCAGTCATCATAGATACAGCTAAACTTCACTTCACCCACATTTTTTTGTTTGTCGTATTCAATGTCCCATTGAATTGGCGCCCTTTCCGTATTTGAGTAAGCCATAAGGGCATGAACAGTACGATTTGTCGTCTCTTGAGGAAGCTGTATAAGCTGTCCATTGATCCATGCCTGTAGACCTGATAGATGCTGGTTGTTAAATTCTAATTGACATAACAAGCTGTGCTCTGCTGTTGTTGTCACATTGATTCTGCATGTATTTCTTTCACAGCCACGCTCTATCACTTCCAGCTTGAACTCTTTATCCGAATCTTGAGCATATGCTGGGTTGAGAGATGTTTGATATTGACAGCGAGTTTGATAGCCCATATAACGTTCACAGCTTAAAGTATCAAACTCTGTGCTGGTTAATGCCTGTTTTAATGTCTTTACCAAGATCTTGGAAGAAGACACGCCTGTTAAAAGTGTGACAGTAGAGAGTGCACCTTCAGTAGCATTATACTCTTGATTGAAAACGATTCGATTGGGCGATATATCGATATTAAATGGGCTAAAAATGGCACACAACAAAAAGACGATCAAAAGGATACTGCACACAATCGAGGCTGTCTTCTTTAGTTCGCCAGCTGCATGAACCCAAGGTAATAAGTGCAGTATAATCAATATAATAGGTATAGACATCAAGAGATAGACTAAAATGATACACAGGTTAAGTTGGTTAGTCTTTTTTTTTTATGGTAACTTACTTGTTGGCTCAGGAGTGCCATCTGCTGTAGTATGACGCATACAGTCCATGATGAACAGCAAAATTTCAGTCATAAGGGTAACTGGTAATAAAACTTGAGCCAAAAATACAATATACCACAATTTGGTGCCCTTCTGAGGCTCTTGCTGTTCTCCTTCCGTTAAAGGCGTCAGGTAGACCAGAATAGCTGTGGCCAAAGTACTGCTGAGGAAAAGATAGATGGCAGGATATGTGCCAGCAACCTTTTGACTGCTAAAATAAATAGCAATCACCAGACATAACCACCAAAAGACAGTCAAACCATAGAATCCGACTCTGATGTTTTCGAGACTAATAGCTACTCTCTTTGACCATCTCGCAAGAGCGATCTGTGAGGTGACTAAACCGAGAAAAGCGGCGACGGCCAAGTAAATGCTGACCCAGTAGATGTTCCCATAGGTTGCAGATGGGTTAACGAAAAGCATGATAAGAGATGCAACCAAGACAAAGAGAACTATAAAGACAAATGCAACAGCAGCGGCAATAAAACCTTGAAGCATGATCAAAGCGTTGCGCTTCAAGCTTTGCTTTTTCTGCTCTATACTCAGGGATTCTCGAGCGGACAACCAAAGCCAAGTGAGTGCACCGACAGGAATAAGGATGAGGGATATAATATTGATGAACTGGCTTGTCTTGAAGCTGTAGGCAAGCATAAAACGACCGAGGATGTCGTAATAGATGACTGGTTCAGATGCCTTTATTGCCTTCATGTCTTTATCAATGCTGAGCACAGACCCGAGAGCCATCTGTCCCATGTGCTGTAGAGCCTGGGGTGTAGTATGGACAAGATCATCCCTTTGAGTGTGATAGTGAGATCTTGGAGTGTAGAATGCAATATCCAAGCCAGGTACGCCGTGCTTTGTGAATATAGTATAATCTGTATCACTCTTAAGTAAACTTGCCTGAAGAAAGTCGTTTCCAAGGGGTGATGCATGTAGCAACTGGGCGTTTGATGAAGCCAAGCCATGAACCGCGGCTAGACTATTACCTCTCAAAAGCAACGCACGTCCTCCCGCGCCTGCGCCTTCCAGGTTAACAAATATCTTGATGGTAGAAAACCATGGATGTAAAGCAAACACTTCTCCACCAATAAGCCCACCCTCTTCAAAGTTATTAAACAGAAAAATAACCGTGTTCTCAGGAGGATTTCTCACAAAGTATCGCAACAGTTCTAGGGCAACTGCTGTGCCCATACCATTGTCTGTTACACCATGACTAGTAGAAACACTGTCTATAGAGCAAATGTGTATTAGCAAACTGTAATATTGTCGAGATATCAAGTACCATAATGTGCATTAATCAAGAAGGATTCACTATTGTTGTTGGATTTCCCGGTGATTCGGACTAAAACATTTCTTGACTCCACATACCAATATTCATCTTTCTTAAATGTTAACCAAAGAAGCATTTTCTTATTCTTTCGATTTACCTGTGGTAAATTTATTTCTCTTGGATACTAATTTGGTTGTGTCATTAGCAATAATTTCCATATCAATTCCATTTTGAACAGCTTCTTGCTTCAAGTCTTGGGCTACCTGCACGATCCAATCCTTTAAATAACCATTCGCACGCTGGTTGGCTGAATGTGGGATATTAAAGTGAGACAAGTATTCGTTATAACAATGAATGCCGGGAAAGCTGCTCTTTTGCTGCGCCTCAACGTCTGATAACGGGGTCGGAAGTGTGTTTCGAACGGTATAGATAAATAGTGTGAATAAGAAAAGAAAGCCAAATACATAAGAATATATCAGCTTTGGAGTTTTAATAGTCTTGTTTATATGGGGAACGTTTTCTCTAGACAACAAGGGTGTTTCTTCATTCCATGCTTCCTGGGAAGAAGACATTGTAATGAGTAAGCGGGACAAAAACGCCTTTCGCGCTCAGTTTTTTTTTTCTTAAAAAAAATAAATGATCCTCTTAGAAACTCCGACTTTAATGCGCCTTTTTGTTTGTTTGAAAAAATAAAATCGCTGTTTTTGAATTTGAAGTCGTGCAAAAAATTTGGGTTTTGGTATTTCCACACACAATACTACGTACAACACTGAAGTATAAGAGAAGCATGTGTCAATGTATTTGTAATAATCGCTTTATTATGCTGAGAAATCATCATTAAAAATAGCGTTATTTTATACGAAAACAGGGCTATTTATGACCAGTGAGAATTAGGCATGACGCGTCTACAAGAATAACGCATTCTGTAGTCAGTTCTTTTTTCTTATTTTTTATTCTCCCAGTCATATTTTACAAGATGAATTGTTTATAATGTAAATACGATAGATATTCTGTTTGCTGTGCAAATAGCAAAACCTAAATTTTTAACGTGTAAACCTAAAAGCAAATATGACGAAACTGAAAGCAAAGTCTCTGTCTGATTGCTATTTATTCTTAAAAGAAGCTTGATTTACTGCATTAATTCAATGTTTTAGGTGATACTGTAAAGAAGATTGTTCACGTTTTATTTGATTACCAAAAGTTGATTCGAAATTTGAAGAAAGAAGAATACGACGTCATAGGATACGCTAAGAAATTTTATGGGAATGAAGACCATGGAACACGGATCAGTTTGTTGAAGTCTATATGCCAACAGTTGAGGGAATGTTCTTTAGTTGGCCATGTTTTTGTTTCGTTTAATTTTCAGACTTGAATCAGCTCGTTGACAAAGATACAGAAGAAAAAGATGTTTTACTTGGAGAGTTATCTGTCGATGGAAATACACAAGGTAAACGAGTTAATGTCTTATTACACAAAATTCGTATAAACAGAATTGGCCAATGACTTTTTAGTAGATATGTTGGCGCATATAAAAAACACCGATAAGCTTTGTTTGGTAGCCCTGGATTACATAGGCTTAACAACTAACTGTGATGGCCTACATGAAACATGAAAGCACCTTCATTTGCAAATGCTGTAACAAGAACTACAGTGCTTCTACCATAGCCAATTCGCTTCAATTTACCTCAACAACAACTGACTTATCTTCTGACTCCACCACTCAGCTCTCATTGGAAATTTCTGGATCAACATCTACGAGCTCCGAGAACAGTGCTTTGACATCCAATGTAATCATAGACGATTTGCAATCTAATCTCACACGTAAAGATTAGCATTAGACATGGCCATATACGACAGGAATAACTGAGAGATAGCAGGCAGAGGCAAGAATTGGGAACCGCTCAGTTCAGTATGAATCTGAGAATAAGAGGGAGCTTATTGACTACGCAGTGTTTGGATTTCTTCACAGGTTTGTTTGAGTTCAGCTTGCGTCTGTTTAAGTTCAGTATACAGTTGAGAAACTATACATTTGACTTAACTACATATTGATTTAGTTGATATTACTTTTACATTCGTTTGTGTGTTTAAATATCACTTTTATTTATGATTTATAACAACTGATAAGGCCTCTTACGTGTTTTGCTCCTTATTAATGTTCTTATATTTACACAAGTAACACCTGGCTAACAATGGTATTGAACCCAAGTATGCTTTATCTTTCATTATATCAAACCATCTTGTCCATTACCTCTACATACCTCCATTCTTGTCACATGTAAAAGCTTCCAACGTCTTTGACCTACTACCCTTAGACCTACCCAACATTACATCCGCCATCATTTGTGGCGACCTCAGTGCACGGTCGAGACAGATTACTGGAGACATTCTTCATACTTGTCGAGGACAAATATCATATGACTAGACCAATTCACACGATATGGCTATATAGAATGAAAGATTGTCCTATGAATCGCCTACATACATGACCTATAATGGTAGTAGCATTATCGATTACTTCATCAGCAGGACAGAGTTGCCTTACCTACAGTTACTAATCCGAGGTGACTTATCGCTTGCTACTAACATAAGTTTACGACATTCTCCTTTCAAGTGGCACCATCACCTCCGAGGACTTGTTCCCACCATAACGAATATTATAGCGCTTGAACAAATAAAAGATGACCAGCTAAAAAATCAACATATAGAACTTGTTTGACGATGTCCAAATAGAAGCCTTGCTCAACAATGCAACACTCACTCGTTTCTCAAAAATTACTGGAGTTCTTCAAAGATCCATTCTTTTTTCTTTTCTTATTCTATATATATATATATTAACGAGCTATCTCAAATACTACGTCCTCACTCGATATCCTCAGAACTTACTCCCCACCGAACTCATTCTTTATCTAAATTGCCTTCTATACGTTGACGACGTTGTTCTCATAGCTGCTAGAGATGATATGCCTACTCTTTTACAGTCTTGTGGAAATCATAGTTACCAGCTCGAATATCGATGAAACCCCAGCAAATGTGTCATCCTGGACCCCTCACAATTATATTCCAGTTACACTTTCTATGGCGAACCAATTCCAAAACAATCTCCCTTTCCTTATCTCGGGATTTCCTTTTGCCCTGGTGGCTACCTCGATGCTGTTGAATCGGCCAATCAAAACAAGACCAAAGCCCTTATCACTATAAACCAGCGTTCAGCTATTGGTGCTCACCCTAAAGGCTTTGCTCCTCCTCTTATTATTCGCTTTTACAGTAAAGCTGCTCGTGCTCAGTTGGAATACGACCTGGCCATTACCAAGAGCACTACGTTCCTTAGTAAACAACTAGAAGATGCTCAAAACGCCTGCTTACGTCGGATTATCGGTGGCTCTCACGCGCCTTCCACCACGATAATGCTACCTATGTCAAATCTACCAACTATGCAGGAACTCGCTTACTCCCTTCAGTCTCAATCCCTTTTACGTACCTATATCCTTTCGGTAAATGCGCTACTTTCCCACCTACTTCCGCTGATCTGCCAACTTAGAAATCACTCCCAGTGGTACAAGCTCTCTAGGTCTTCCATTTAGAAACAATGCTCATCAAATCTAGAACCCCTTGATCGTCGCTCATTACGATTGATGCAATGGAAGTTTCGTCAAGATAACCTCAACCACAAGTACTCTGCGCACGCCTCTGTTCTTCTTATGCTCTGTCATCGGACTATATCTCTAGACCCTATCCTTTGATTACTTATGCCAAGTCTGAGAAGAGTCGCTGCATACACTAGCGTCTTGGCTGACCCTTCCACCTCCCACCTTTGGTCGTCGATAAAGAGCCTGTCCTCGGCACTTCAACCAGTCCCTTCACAATAACCCATTGCCATTCACTGTCTCCAGATGCACCGTTGACTCATGGTTGCCCGAAACTATTTTTGATCCGCTGTTCTTCCTTTTAAATATGCTACCTACCAGGAAATCTCACCCTTTTAACACAATACTCTTCTGGGCCCCTCCACTGATTAACTATATGCAGAATCCTATATGAACTTGATTATCTATATCACGCTAGGCTTCCGCCTACTCCACCCATTCACTTCGGGTAAAGACTCTTAGAATGGCTCCCTTTCTCTCCTTCTCGCTAATGTGCCTTACACTTGAATCCTCATTCACTTTTTCCATAGCATTTTTACCCCTGATCCCAAAAGGGCGTTTCGCAGTTTCCTTTTTTATCTGCCCTGGGCGGGATAGGTATAATACTATAACCGTGCGCCCAATAGAGGCTCAAATAAAAGACTGTTTAATCGTATGCTTTCTTTGTAAAACATTTCTCTTGGCAAGATTAGTTCAAAAGATAAAAGGACTGGCCAATACAAAGGGCATAGAACAGGAATAACAGGTGTGTTATACAGAGCATTGAAAAGAAGAGAAAGGCAGGGCGATGTTATCGTTGTAACAGTCGATGAATTTCGAACGTCAAAGGTAAAGTGTTATTCTCTAACTTTGAATATCCTACTTAACTGCCTATAGATCTGCAACTCTCTTGATAAAATGACATTCACATCTGCTTTTATAAACTTTCACGGCATCCAACCCTGCACAGAATGTGGATTGCTTTGGTAACGGGATATAAACGCTTCTAAAAATACTTTCAAGATAGCCAATGGCATCCTTTGTGGATGTGGCAGATCTCAAGCTTTTTATCGCCGTATCGAGTACGGCTCTCTTTCCGAAGTTTAGATATTTACTTCTAGTACTTAGAGCGGGCTAGTTTTCAAATCAGCTTTGAAATACTCAGCAAAATTTGTTTTGAAAAAGCGAACTGTTTCCAAAAAAAGAATCATAAAGTCACAAGACTGCTTCGCAGTCTCATTGTAATCCAAATTGGGTAACTGCTCTTTAAAGACATGCCACTATTTTTAAAGGTCTAAGGAGGGGGAAATAGGATTAGGCTGGTTTAACATATGAAATATTGTGATTGAAAGTTAGACTATACCATTTCTGTCCTACTTTTTCTATATGATAAAGAATATACATAAAGTGATGAAACTGCGGAAAGGGTTTGTGTAGCAAATAAGATGCTCCTTTTTTTGATACATCTGACGTGTGCGCATATTTTAAAAATATGCCTTTTCTGTTCATACATAATAAAAGCCAGCACTATGCCCTGCCGCAGATGTATGACGTGACAGTCTGTAATGTTGGATAGATGACATGTCAGCTGGTAATATGACATTATAAAAATAAGCTTTCGAGAAAAAAGATATGAATTCCATGTGACAAAAGAACAAAGAAAAAAAAAGAAAATAGGCAAAAACAGAGCAACTAGACAAAAGGTCTTTTGGAATCCGTACCTTTCTAATACAAATTCCGCTTGAAAAGTGATACAATTATGATACTTTGACAAGTCTATATAAATAGCGTTGTCTTTTTTTTCTCTTTCTTTCCCTTCTTTCTTTAGTTTTTTATTTTAAACAAATATGCGAACAGCTTTACGTAAAAAAATAGTCATCGTGGGCGATGGAGCTTGTGGAAAGACAAGTTTATTAATAGTTTATCAAAATGGCAAATTCCCTGAAGTAAGGATTAATACCCAAAGAAAAAAAGAAAGGGCAACTAAATAGAATGAAATGTATATAGAAATATCTACCAACAGTATTTGAAAATTACATCTCTCGCGTCGAGTTGGATAATAAATCAGTTGAACTTGCCTTATGGGACACCGCAGGACAAGAAGATTATGATCGATTACGGCCACTGTCTTACTTTGAAACAGACGTTGTTATCATTTGTTTTGCTGTGGACAATATGAACTCTTTTCAAAATGTGAGAGACAAGGTAAATTATTTGTTCATTTGAAAGGTACAAGACTAACTTGTATATGTAGTGGCTACCAGAAGTGAAGCACTATTGTGGCAATAACGTATCATTAGTACTAGTCGGATTAAAAATCGATTTACGGACAACAGAATCAAAGACGATCATTAGTTATCAACAAGTAAATATAGCACGTACACACAAACAGATCATCAGGGCTGATTATTTTTATTAGGGGCTAAAATTAGCTAAAGAAATAGGAGCCAAATATGGTGAATGTAGTGCGAAAGAGAATATATATGTTAAAGAAGTTATACAACTAGCTGCGCAAATGGCTATTAAACCAAAAAGATTATTTATGAAAAGAAACCTACAATGTAATATCCTATAGAACCCTTACATCATTCCCCCTCATTGTTATTATTACTATATTTATGCTATTTAATTACACATATGATGCCATCAAAAAATAAATAAATTATGTAAAACGCGCCACCCTTTTAGCCTCTTACCGGGTCGAACATCCGTTCCGAACTAGATTTAGCAGATTCCGATGGAGAGAGAGTGTATGTATTTTTTTTTTCTTTAGTAGCCATTTTATTAAGGTATATAAATATAAAAGGTAAATTAATTGGTATTATGAGTAAGTGATAGTCTGATAGCTTCCATAACCAATACATCTTCAAGATCTAATTCAGCTGATGTATCATATATTGTCTCATCATAATCTGTTCTTCTTCTTCTTCTTATCTCATTTGTCAAGGGCACTCTTCGTCGACGTGTTGAGCCCACAGCAGAAGAAGAAGCATCATCAAGCATTTCTTCCCATTTGGGTCTAATGGTGTCCACATAGATGACGCTGGGATCATCAGGCTCAATTTTTTTTGTCGTATATAAATCAGGCCTTGATTGCTTTAATTTCTGTCCTATTTAAGTAATGTATATATACGCAATTAATCTATATACCTACATCATAATGTTTACTCCATGGGGGAGGCAAATAGACAACACCCAGATTAGGTTGTACACAAAATGGACAGACAGCAGGTATTAATGGTGAAGAAGAAGACCTTTTGAATTGTAGAAAGCATTCGGTGCAAATGGATTTATGGCAGCATCTTGTTTTATTGATATTTGAAGGATAAAACTTTATAAAGTCAGAATATGTTGCATAAATTTTATGATGTGTGTTTACCAGAAAACAAATGGGACATTCAGTTTCGAATGAAATCTTTTTGGTTGAATAGATATCTGTTGTACCTATGATATCCCATCTATATATATGCTTTTTTTTTACTATATATGAGCTAACCTCTATAAAAGGGTGCTAGTCTTCCTTTACGAATCAATTGTTTAACAATCTTCATATCGCAATCATTATGTCGATATATTCCTTGTGGCTTTAGATATCCATAATCTACTGTAGTTGAATAATAATCTTTGAGTTTTGAATAAAGTCCACCCATGATTTATATAAATAGGAAAAAGAAAAAGAAAAGGAAAAAAAAAAAAAAAAGGAAAAAAAAAAAAAAAAGGAAAAAAAAAAAAAAAAGAGAGAAAGAACGATAAACTCTAGAACCAGTGTCTTGTTGTCATACACAAAAGAGTCACACACACACATGGATATCTTTTTCTCTTTTTTTTATTGATCATTCAAACAAACAAACAATAAAACAATAAGAAAAGTATTCCTTTTTCTTCTTTTTTTTTTTTTCTTTTCTTTTTTATTGTATTAATTTTATCAACTCATATTTTTTTTACGGGAAAAAACAAAGTTACTCAAGGGCTAATAAGCCAATCAAAACAAACAGTTTCAATAATCTCGTGTTTCTATTGTAGAGGTAAAATAAGGGGTTGAACTATTTTATTTTTATTTTTTTCTTTTTTTTATTCTATTTATCAAATGTCCACAGTGTCTTCCAATAAAACTAAACCAAGTAGAATACCCACTTCTTCTAGCACACTTCATCCCACATCTACTGAATCAGACATGTTATCTGTCTCAAGCAGACAAAGACAATCTAAAAAAGACGAGGTAAAGAACCTTGTGACTATAACAACCCTGTATATATAAATTACTTTTTAGGCTATTCGTAAGAAAATTGAACAAGAGTTATCAAAGAAGAGAGGCAACTCTACTCGTATCAGACAAACCAAGAAAATTGCAGGTACCGTATCTGCTCTCCGACCAGCACAGGCCTTGACCGTCAGGGAAAGTATACTGGTGATCGAAGCAGCCCAATTGATGGCTGCTAAAAGGAGTGATTGTGTTTTGGTAGTCGATGACGAAGAGCATTTGAGTGGTATCTTTACTGTAAGTTGTATACTATTCACTTTACCTTATCTAATCATATGGTAGGCGAAAGATTTGGCTTATCGCGTAGTAGCAGATAATCTGGATGCTAGGTAAATTCATTGTTCCTTATCTTATTCTTTACTCATATGAAATAGATCAACTACAGTAGCTGAAATCATGACAAGGAACCCCATGTGCGTTACTGCCGATACATCTGCTCAAGATGCCCTGAACCTCATGGTTTCCCGCGGTTTTCGTCACTTGGTATACAAATAACGTGAAAAAACTGCCCCAAAAATCATTCGATTTTTTACATTCATCCCTTTGTAGCCCGTTTGTAATGAAGAAGGCGATATCTTTGGCTTACTCGACATCACCAAGTGTATTTATGAAGCACTTCATAAAATGGAAAAGGCATACGGGTCATCACGTAAACTGTATGACGCATTAGAAGGCGTCGAACGGGAATGGGCCAATAGCCCAGTTCAGCTCGTTCAATATATGGAAGCACTCAAAGATAAGATGTCTTGTCCTGATTTGACGACTGTCCTGGATCATGCCGAACCTGTTCAAGTCGCTATGAAGACTCAAGTAAGAGAAGTCGCTCGATTGATGAAAGAGTATCACACAACAGCTGTTCTTGTGATGGATCATGGTGGTCTCGCTGGTATTTTTACGGTATTTCCCATTTTGAATATTTTTTTTTGGGGTCCTGACATTTATATATTTATATAGTCTAAAGATATCGTCTTGAGAGTCATTGCCGCCGGCCTTGCTCCCGATAGTTGCTCAGTCGTACGTGTGATGACACCTCATCCTGACACAGCCTTACCTTCAACAAGTATTTTAGACGCTTTGAAAAAAATGCATGGTAAAAATAAGGAGGGGGTACTATTTTATCACTTTGCTTATTACTTTTTATATAGATGGTCATTATTTAAATTTACCTGTATTAGACGAAGAAAGAAATATTGTGGGCTTAATCGACGTCCTTCGATTGACTTATGCCACTTTAGAACAGGTAAAAAAAAAAGCAAAGTAGAACAAATGATAAGAGGTGTAACATCCAAAATAGATCAATAGCATTGAAGGTAATCAGGGGGATGGAGCCAAGTTTTGGCACAGCATTGCGGCTGTAGGAGACCCTACCGAGACAGAATCAGCCATTTCCGACTCACTCTCCCAAGCAGCCAACTCACCCATGTTTCAAAACGATCGGCTACTCTCACCCATGCCAGGCCATGCACCGACCTACACGGGACTGGGCTATGCAGAGCTCACACCAGGTGATTCAGCATCGATGATACATGACAACGATAATACCTCAACCGTTTCTTCTCATATCAACAATACCTTTTCGTTCAAGTTTAATTATGGAAACAAGACACATCGGTTCCGTCACGAGATTGGTAATTTTGCCAGTTTCTTGGAGACGATTCAACAAAAGATTATGACAGAACATCTCTCACTCTCACAGTCGTACGTAGCAGTGCATCACAAGGAAGATGAAAATTGGTTGACAGTTGCTTATTTGGATGATGAAAACGATCAAGTCTTGATGACATGTGATTCAGATCTGATAGATGCGGTTCAAATAGCAAAGAAGTCAGGTATGGATCGTGTTCGGTTATTTGTGCATGATTCGATGGCAGAGCAAAAGACGGTTGAGCAGACTCCGGTGGAGTTACCCATGTCGCCTCCTGTCTCTGTCGAGCCTGTGATAGAAAAGAAGCCTGAACCAAAGCAGAAGCCACAAAGACGTCAACAAGAAGAAGAAGACGACGACGATGACGATGACGAAGAAGAAGAAGAAGAATTGAAAAGAAGAAAACGAAAACACAGTCTAGACAAAAAGAAGACAAGAAAACAAAACGTAGAATACAACTTACCCATTCCTCAAGAATTGATGTTGCCAGCGGCAATTACGTTCCTTGGTGTAGTTATTCTCGGTGTGTTTACTATATCAAGATTAACATCCAAATAACTTTAGAACTTTTTTCTTTTCTTTATTTATATAATCATAGTAATATAATAAAACGTCCTTATGCCGTATCTTCCCAATCACGATGAGTTCGTTTTTTCCCACCTGGGTACATCAAATCATTATCATTCGGAGGAGGAAATGCAGCAGCTGTAGGATTAAACGTATTTGGGTTGTAAAGCAAAGCATTCATGTCCATGTTTATCGAACCAAACAAGTCGTGGGGGTCAAAGTTGGTTTGTTGGTTACTGTAAATGGGTGGCTGAGGCATAGTAAACAGCTCAGGGTTACCGAGGAACTGCTGAGGATACTGCTGAGATTGCTGTTCAGAGGAAAAGTTATAGCCAACAGAATCAAAGCTTGCTGGGCTATTGGCGTCTGTCCTCGTACCAAATATGTAGAATGGCTGTTGGTTTCGTGTAGCAGTTGTGCTTGAGCTAGACACGACCGTAGGTGGTGTTGCCGTCGCTGTTGTCGTCGTCGCTGTTGTGTTTGTGGTGGTCGTTGACGTGCTAGCAGGCATGTCAAAATTCATTCCTCCTAGTAACATATCGGTGTTATGGTTGCCTGTGTTTGACTGAGGAGAAGACATGCCGAAATCCATCAAGTTATCACTACCACCGAATATTAAGTTGGTTTCGACGCCAATAAGACTATTTGGATCATGGAAGTTGATCGTCTGTTGTCGTTGCTGATGATGTGGATGATGAGACATAGGAGACTGATGTTTAGCTTGAATGGGTGATGCTGTACTGTTGATCGACGTAGGAGGTGGAGTAGATGTAGTCGTATACAAAGGCTGAGAAGGTTGTAATCGTAAATTATTAAACATTGGCTGGGTGGTATTAGTTGCATTATTATTGTTAGTATGTAGTGTTGTATTTCCACTATTCGTGGACGTAGTAGTATGTGTCATTGTACTAGGTTGAGGAGATTCAAATACTGCGGGATTAAAGACAGAAGATATCGATTGTTGATTGATGGAGTCTTCGTTCACATGAGGCAAGTCCTTCAAGTTTGTGTACAAGTTGTTCTTTTTCAAAAATGCTTCAATCGATTCAATGATATCGCACACCTTGACCATATAAGTTAAAGGAGAATCTCTAAGTACATTAGCTGTGATGATGAGATTACGCTGAGCCAAGTAAGACACTTCCTTTTCATTGGACAATGCGTTTGCTTGATGTATTGTGACACTAGCAATGATTCCGTCCATAGCATAAAAGAATTGACACCATTTTAAATTATTTGCATATAAAGCTAACATTCTAGTGATGAGATTTGCGGATTTTGTACAAATGTTTAAAGACAATAAAGCAACAGGGGTAGCTGTTTGATCTTGCTTTGGTAAAAAGAATTTATGAAGCATGATCCAAGTGGTTTGATATTGGATGTTGAGGATCAGACAAGCCTCGTCTCTAAAAGAGTTTGTTTTCTGAAATGATGCCTCATCTGTAAAGTGTAATTCCTGAGGTAATTCAGATAACCAGTTGGTTAAAACGTTTTCTAGTCTTGAAATGGCCGACAAAAGTGACTGTCCGGATTGTTCAGAGGGTAAATGTTTGGTGATGTCCTTTCTGATTCTCATCAATTTGATCGAATAGACTGTAAAGTGAATTCTATAACCTGTCTCTTCATCTTCATGGTCCAATCGAACGGGATATTCCAAGTCACAGTCTTTATCATCTACCATAGTCGGTCTATTGCTTTCTAATGCTGCACATAAATCTAACCAGTAAGCTGACCACCAAAGGCGTTTATTTGTTTCACGCTGATTTAAATCAGCCGACATGTGTTCCTTCTTGTGGAACTTTAGATCTTGTGCCATTCGAATGGCAAGTCCAATGTAGAGATAGGCGAGACTTGACCGTTCACTTGACAACTGATACATGTACAAGTTTAAGAGAGCGTGAATTGTCGTTGGACTACTGATATCAAAACATTTCTTCAATAGCTGTCTCGCGTTCTTAAAATAGACTTCACCCATATTTGATGGCGCAGCAGTAGTAATGGAGTGATAGATACATCCATGCTTTGAGACCCAAGCATCAATTGAGTGCTTCAAGAGAGGATCGAGTGTATCATTCGTATATTGTTGCATAAACGATTCTTTATCAACAATCTCATAAGCTAAAAAGCATGAGTGATAACGGGAGTGCATTAAATTGTCCAATACATCCTTTGGCAGCGTAGTTGACATGGCTTGTTGTTGATTTTCTTCTATCAGTTTCTTTTCCTGTAGGATCTTTTTGGCCTCTGTATCATCCACTTCCCAAAGTCTACCTGGTTCATTTGCATTACTGTCTGCACTAAATACGTTTCTTTTTGTTTGTTGTTGTTGCTGCTGCTGTTGTTGTTGTTGATGTCTACGTGATGACGATGAAGAATAAATAGAGTTTTCAGGACTGAATAAACTGGTGGAATTAGAGTCATTGTTGATATTCAATTGACTAATTCCGTTTAGCAATATTTTGTATAAATCAGCCACACTTGCGATATTTGTATCAATCCTTAATCCAGAAGGTGACAAAGATAGCTTCCATGTTACTGATTGATTGCTATTGGTGATATCTCCATGGCTCGTTAACTGCATCGTATTGTTATCCTCCATTGTTTTTGTGCTCGTTGTTGTAGTGACTGAAGAAGCATATGAATTTATATTAACCTTCATGATATCCAACTCAGCTCGCATCCTTTCCATTCTTTCTTTTAATTCTTCAACATGATTACCCAATTGATCGAATGCATGGCCATCTACTCTGCGAGGTGGAGTAGCATAACTACAGGGTAAGCCTGCTATAGCACAACGACCACAAGTAGGTTGAACAAAATCACATTTAACTTTCTTCTTTCTACATCGAATACACTACATACAAGTATAAATATATATATATATTTTTACATGATATTTTATATAGATACTTACAGCCAAACTAGACCGTGGTCGCTTGGGCCTAGTCTGTTCAGGTTGTTTAGGCGATTGTTGCTGTTGTTGCTGTTGTTGTTGTTGTTGGTTACTATCGAATACAGAAGACATGGAATGCAATGTCTTCTTTTTTTTTGTAGAAAGAAAAGGAATAAATTATAAAAAGGAAAGAAAATAAGGTTTTTGATGTATAAACTGTGTTTAAATAGTCAACCAATCGTTTTATTCTAATGACCCTAAGGCTGGTTCACTTAAATCTATCGTACTTGGGTTACTTGAAGTCCTTGGGAACAGGTTTGGACTGATTGGGATAATTGGGCTCATAGGCTCCCTTACAATTTCACCACTAGCACCCAAATTGATTTTACCCAATTTTCTGACTGAAGGTGATTTTTTTAATTTAGGACGATGAGTGTCGACGGCATCAATGTCGACTACATAAATATATTAATAATCAAAAGAATAAATACTGGTGTTATGCATACCTTTATATCTCTTTTCTTCACATCCATAGGCCTTGGGAGTTAGTTCAATCACAGTATGGAGAGGTATCTTGATATAAGGTAAATCTTCATGATTGTAATTCATAAAGTAAGCATAGATACACCTTAAAATAGCCTGATGACCAATAATCAAAATATTTTCATGTCTTTCTAATTCCATAATGATAGGCTCCAATCGAAGGACAACATCTCTATAAGATTCACCGCCTCTATAACGATAATTGAATTTATCTTCATCACGATTAGCAAAATCCTCGGGATATTTCTGTTCGATCTCTTCATAGGTCATTCCATCACATACACCAGCGTCTAGTTCATCCAAGGCCTTCCATTGTAATTTTGGATAATCTAAATATTGACTTGTCTCTATCGTTCTTTTTAGAGTGGATGTCCAAATGACCAGATCTTGTGTGCCCAAATTTTGAATCAATTCTGGTAACTTGGTGGCATAAAGTAGACCTCTTTCGGATAACGAGGAATCACCACCGATTTTACCTTCAAGATTATATTGAGATTCACCATGTCGACTGAAATAGATTTTTCTAGGCGCAATGTGTAAATTCATCAGATAATAAACAATTCTTGATTCCAAATAGCCTTGAATCATATTGATTATATTTTGACTTCCAACATTAATCAATTTGATAAAAGTCAAATCCTTCTCAGTGATCGTCTCATATTGTTCCTTGTAATGATCAATGCGAGCAATAAAATCAACAGCTGCCTCATCTGGATCCGTGTTGGCATAATCGGGAGAGGATAATTTGACTTCCTTAATATTAGCCAAGATCAATGCTTCATCTTGACAAATAGATTCAATAAATAGTACTTGAATATCGTGTTTACTTAGTTTTTCATATAACCATCGTCTTCTCTTTTTGGTACTGTTTGTTGCATCGTAAATAGCCACGATACCTTGATCATTATTGAACCATTCAATCATATCTTGTAATGCAGCAGCAGCAGCTTCTCTTCTTTGTTGTTCTCCTATACTGTTGTGTGGATCAAAAAATGTATGAGGTAAACTTGCACCATGAAGCTTTCTTCGATAATTTCCAACATTGAATACTTTGGTCTTTATTCCCAGCCAAGTAAGATATCGACAGACTATTCAAAGAACGTGAATACGATATACGCCACAGAATAGTTTATACCTTTTTGAGATATATATGTCTTTCCTCTGGCAGGTAATCCTACCATCTATCAAATCAAAGTTATTTCAATTAAACAAAAGCAAGTAACTTGTTTACTTACAACACAGGCAATGCGTAGATCTAGACAAATACATGTTATTCCTTACATTTGAGCATTAGCTATAATAATATTTACTTGAACTCATTTTGTTGTTGTTGTTGTTGTTATAGATAAGAGAAGAGAAAAAAAAGAGACTATCAAAAAATTTTAGTGTTGATACTGAGTGTCAAAATGATCTCCCTTATCAATAATAACATGAGCTTATTTAAAGTACATATTTCACTTGTTTCTAACAATAGACAGATAATAAATAACGTCATCTTTTTATACATGCATTCGAAGGCATATCTATTCTTATAAGTAAAAAGACAGGTAGAATAACTTTTGTCAATGACGACACTCATCTACATAGAAAAAAAATCAAACCAAAGTTTAGTATGAACTGTTTCAATTGATCTCTTTATTTAACAGCAGACAAGTTCGAAAAAAATTTAGATAATCATACGTTTGACTATGAATCAGCTCATATAAATATATAAATTTGATTATGAAGAAACTTGTCTCTCTCCTTTCAAATAATAGAATCTAATCATTACGCAATTTTGACTGTCACAATGAATATTATTACATCCCATCGAGGGTGCATTATTATTTTTCTGGTTTCTTTTTATTTTCCTTTTTATTTTTATTTTCCTTTTTTATTTTCCTTTCTCTCTTTCTCTCTTTTTCTCTCTCTCTTTTTTTTTTTTTCTCTCATCTCTTTTATAATTAAAACATGCGTGAGCCTAATTTCAGCTCCACAGCCCAAAATAGAGCAGCTGTTGTTATTTCATCTACTTTATATGATCGAAGAGCTTTAGATTGTACAGCAACTCTACCTTTAGTCAATTCATTAACTCATCTTGCTTACATGACTTCTACTTCACCACGCATTCGTGAAATCTTGGCAGCAGATGGTGGATTAGAAAGATTAGTAAAAATACTTGCTACTTGCCAATATACGGATAAACACTCTTTATGGAAATGGTCCTTAGCTTTTCAGTGCGTCGTCAATGTGGGTGTCCGTGGGACAGAGGCTATTAGGACCCGTGTAGTGGAAGCTGGAGCAGTACACATCGTACTGGCCATACTGGAAAATTTTATTCAAGCACTCGACCAAGCCAAACTAGACAAAGACCAAGAAAAGAAACAAAGCTCGAATAATTTATTTGCAACCGCTTTAACTTTACCGACTTTACCGATTCAGCAACTCCAACAACAGCCATCAAGATCAACTCCTATTTTATCCTACCAACAGCAGTTATCATCTACGTCATCAGAAAAAGAGAATATATTTCAAAATAACACAAGAAATATGGAAAATAATAACAATAGCATGCTATTTGTTATTCCAAAAAGACGGACTTTCCTTAAACGAACAGCAAAACCAAAGGCAAAACCATATACCGCATCTCTATCAAGTATTCCACTCTTAAACAATCTATCCACTGACGCCATACTTCACCGTGAAGAAGACATTTTGTTATCCTTACAGCTTTTGGCTTACTTATCCAAATACCCTCAGATTCGTCAAGCATTTCACAATAATCATCGACACAATGTATTTTCGGTGGTTGAAAAATTTACACATCGCATCCATCCTGCTGCCATCATTTATTGGGCCGGTGTCATCATGAGAAATGCTTGTAGAAAGGATGAAGCAAGAGGTGGTGTCAGACAATGCGCAAATATGCAATGTGGTAAATGGGAGAGATTCCCTCGTGAATTTGCAAAGTGTCGTAGATGGTAATTTTTGATTTTTGTTTTATAAAGTAAATATTAACGCCCTTTATTAGTCGAAAAGCCAAATATTGCTCAAAAGCTTGTCAATCAAAAGCTTGGGCTGATGGTCATCGGTGGTGGTGTGTTGAAAGACCCCATAGCAGCCATCCACCCAATCCTACCGCAACATCTTCAACTACTGCTGCTGCTGCTGCTGCCGTTGTCGCCGCTGCTCCACCTCCACCTCCACCGACAGAACAAGTAGTTCATTTAGAGGATACGGCTACATCGGACGTGATGACAATCCCTATTGACACCAACAATACTAACACAAATGAAGGAAATGAGGCTGGTGATAATAGCAATACAACTAGAAGATCATCACTGGCTGTTACAACCGAAAATACCCTTCGTCCTCCTCGTGAACAGGAACTCTTATTTTATCACCATACTCAGCGAAGGAACTCTCGTTCGGTGCGTAGTCTGGCATCAGGATCATCCACTGAAGTTGAAGGCGATACAGAAACAACTCGTCCCCGAGATTTAATGGATGTTGATTAATAACAATTTATAAAATATATATATATATATATCTTCCCACACACACACTCACGCACTCTCTCTATGATCTTTAGTATGACTTTTTTTTATTGCTCTTTTTTTTTTTTTGCTACGTACAATAATGCTACAACTACACGCACATATACATAACATGATACATACGCAGATTATACACACAAAAAAAATGGCAAGACGTTCGTTTTGATTTTCTCCTTTATTATTTCTATAAACTTCACCTTTTTTTTTTCAACCTATTTTTTTGATTGTATATTATTTTTCTTTATTAAATTGTTTAAACGATAATATCACGTTTTGCTATAGTATTTGGATAAATGACAGGATTGGTGATTTCGGGGAAATAATGGGCAATAGGGCATTTACTCTTCATACACTGGCTAATACTTTCTGCAGCCTCGATCCCTGTGAACCAGGCACCTTGAAGGAAACCGTAGTATTTTGCAGACAAGGCCTCACCAGCAAAGAAAAGACGATTATGTAAGGGAGCACGCATGTTGATGTGATGCTGGCTTAACTCGCCAATGGGCCAATTAGAATAACTGCCTCTGAACAGAGGGTTTGAGTGCCAACGAGGGAACAGGATGTCGGTAGGTTCGGGGACATGATCACCATACATGCGACGGAGAACTTTGAGAGCAGCCTGCTTGACCTCTTCGTCCGTCATTCGTTCGATCTCATAAGACATGTCTTGAGTGACAGTGGCAAAGAAGATGTTGGTGCTTGTATTTTGAGGCAAGTAGCCCTTGGCGTTTAGGTTTTGCCAAGTATTGAAATAACCACGACGATCAGGATCAGCCCATACGACAAACTCGTTGTCATCCCAGAATTTATAAGGAAAGTTCATAAAGATCTTGGTATAAGTTGCCATGTGGAATGCATAGATGCCTTCCATCTTCCATTCAGGAAGCTGAGGGCTCCATTCGATGTCCTTGTGTTGCATCACGCCTACACTAAAGAGAGAGAAGGTAAGGGGATGATAATAGCAGTAAAAAGGAGGAGGAGAAATACTTACGAGAAAGTACTGATGGCATAGTCTGCATGCACGACATCTCCTGCCTTGGTATAAACTGTCACGCCTTCCTTGCTATATTCGATTTTGGTAATAATAGAGTTCAACATCAAGCGTGATTGTTTTGCTTTAAAAGCCTTCTTGGCCTCTTGCTGAAAGATATACTTGAAACCGCTGATACGATGTGAGTAAGCGCGAATTTTTTTTTCTTGCTTGTACTGTTACCGATTATCAAGGACCATGTTATCTCCATCACTTCCCGGACCAAAGCCTGTGTAGGTCCAGTTGTCATTAAGTACGGTAAACATAGAAGACGAGAGCTCGGGCGTTTCTCCCATCTCCCAATCCCATACATAGTACTCAATAGCATCATCCAGGAACGTCTTGGGAGTCCAGCCAGCAAGATCAAGAGCAGCACGACCAGACAGATCAGCTAAATTACGCTTGATTCGTTTGACTATAAACAAAATGCTTTATATCTTTTCAGACATTGAGATTTTTTTTTTGGTTACTTACGAACATTGTTTGTCATCTTTTCATAATAACCATTGAACTTTTTATATTTAGCTTCTCCATCAATCTTTCCTTTTTCGCCATAAAAGACAACATCGTCGCCATTCGTAGAAGCCGTATTCAATTTGTACTTTTTGGCTAATTCATTGATCGGATTTGTTCCAAGACCTTGAACCCAATTACAGCCAAGCTCCACATGCGTATTACCAAACGGTGCATTTTGTGCTCTTCCTACAGGATGTGGTCAGTATTAGAAAAAAAGGAAAAGAATAGAAAAAACCTTACCTCCGAGTTCGTGTCTTGCCTCGATCATGATAAAATCATGAATACCTTCCTCTGTTAATTTTAACGCGGCACTAATACCACTGACGCCACCACCAAGAATGGCCACCTTGGTACGATGCGTGGCAGCACTGGCAAGATAAAAGAAACAAGACACGGCCAAGGTTGTAATATGAGCCGTTTTCATCTTTATTTGTCAAATAAAAAAAAAGAAAGAAAGAGAAGAGGGCAAAATATGAACTAGTTATATGTATGCCTTCAGGGCCTCGTGTAACACCCTTATCCCTTTATTCTGCACATCAGCTAGTCATCATGCGTACAAGTATAGGAAAAAGAAAAAAGTTTGTTACTCATCCAAGGTTACAGATGCACTAAAATGGTCTTCATTTGAAGCTGTGTGACATATTTAAGCGATTATTTATACTCCTGGGAAAAGATAACGTATCTAAAGCTGAATATAGCCCGACAGTTTAGTGGCTCTCTTTGTAAATAAAAATGCAGTGCATTTAAATAAAGCTGATCAAGGGTAAACGGGGAGTACAACCTATACACCAGATGTCTAAATCAGTTCATTAAGCCGACGTGATATGTAACTGATCTTTGGCCCGATGACTGTGTATTTTTGTTTTATAAAAACGTAAAGAAACACAGTACTTGCATATTTGAAACTGATATAATTCAAAATATGCACCAAATCAGCAAACAGAAAGAAAGAAAGGAGAGACATTATGCTTATTTGTATATGTGTTATTTCGTAAACTGCATCTTACCAACCTTTGATATCTATACTATTTCCTGATCATCAAAGTCGCACCACGCTAATCCTAAAGCTGCAGGACCATAAAAGTAAAATCCAGAAACCTTTGTGGATAATAATGACAAGTCAGATGGCCTTGTCATGAACCTGATAATGGTCTGTTCTATGATTTAAATCAGCTACAGCACTACACAAACATTTTCAGCAAGAGACCTTATGATCAGAAACTAGTTGAATGGTAAAGTCAATTCCCCTCTGATTCTTTTTAACCTCACTTTACCATTGATCCCAGACGGAGTTTTTTTCTTAGCATTATTGGCCTCCCAAAAGGACTGACTTGGTCCGGGCGGACATTTGTAATGTTTTTGTATTGTGGTCAATTGAGGCGTTAAATGAAAGATTATGTTAAACTAAATCAACCATCGTGTATACACAAGAAAAGGCTGTCGTACTAAAAGGGTTTGACAGATCTATTAGTACATAAACACCTTAGCTTTAGTTTTGAAATTAGCAATCAATTCTTTTGCAAGATGGGTATAGTCACAATATGGAGGAGCGAGGATATTTGGATCTATAGACCACGTCATTGATGAGAAAGTATACACTCTTCACGAACCATTAGCTCTCTCACATGGGTACATTCATCTAATAGTAACTCTGTGACCGTTGTTACACATATCCTTAAGCTAAAGGATACAAACTTTCATAGAAATCCAAGCGTGGCTACACAGCATACATTGATCAGCTATTTTTAATCTTTTATTTGAAAAAACTTTGAATAGATCAGCTACTATAAAGAAGCAAGAGAACACAGGCTTATTTACTCCCTTTAGTATGAAGTGGGGCCTTGATGAGCGCTCCTTAAACAGCATAAAAACAATGGCCATCCACATACTCTCAATGGAAAACATAAAATAAACCTACTGAGTACATTGACGAGAGAACCCGACAATTGTTCCACAACAATTGATAAAATGACTTCGCCAAAGACTTGAAAAACTCAAAATATACTCCATCGATTTTTGTGAAGAATGAGTGCAACTTGTAGACAGTAAAGATTTTTTTTTATTCAAAGTGTAATCAACGCGTTTTAATCTGCATTAGCACATAAAATGAATAAATATTCAGTACATTCAGTTTCTCTAGTCTGTTATTTTGTGAAAAGAATATCGAGTAGAAGACAGACTAAAGACGTCACTAGTGATATGACGGGTCCTGGTGTGAGTGATTCTTGTTACAAAAGTTGACAGCCTATCAGCAACCAAAGGAGTCAATGATAGTCCAGCATGCTGGAATTCGTAAACAGGAGAGGTTGCTGTAACCGTTTTTGCTGTATATTATAAGATCATCAAACATGCCTTTCATGGTCCTTGACAGCTTTAGCCCCTTTTCTTTAAGCGCCTTTGGTATTCTGATACTGAATTGCGGTTTCACCGACACAATGCTCGTAAGCATGCCCATGGTGATCTTTGTTCTCCCCTTATAATGAGGTCACACTTGTGTCTTGTGCTAAATCTTTTCTCTTTTGCACCAATGGCCCTGTCAATATTTTTTTTCTTTTAGTGCTTGCTGTACTAGGGAATCTATCACTCTAATGCAGCGTTTTTCTTAGAAACTACACCTTGAGCAACGAAGTTCATCTTGAAGTAGTAGGTATGTGGGATGATGTCATTAGGGATCACGTCCAAAAGCGGATTATCCTTCTAAAATGAAAAAGATTCTCCCAGCAAGCAAAGTAATATCCTCCTTCGGGACATCCCATTGTTCTCTGACTTGATTTATAAGCCGAAATGGCTTTATGTAGTTTATTATAGATATCAGTTAGTTAATACAAAAAAAGAAAGAATCATCTACTCTACATTTTTATCAGATTCAATTAGCAAAATGTCATCAGCGGGCCCTGGAAGAGAACGATCATTTTCTTTCAACAGGGCCAAGAAAAGCTCAGTAAAGTCGGCCACTTAAAACATAATGGAAGTAATAATTAGATACTCATGTTCCTGTATTATCCGCGCCTCCTACTGTAATGCGTCCGCCTTCTTTATGTCTCTCATTGCTTTAGAGACAGTGGTAGAGCGACTAGGATCATAACCATAGAGAATGAAACTGTTACTGTTTATGTTTCTTGTAATAAAAAAATAAAAAAAAGAGAAATGATGCAGCCTGACATTGAATAAATAAGGAGACCAAGCTGTATTGTAAACCCAATAGACTTAGTTTACTCTTTTTGCCTTGACAGACTCTTGTTTATAAATATAAGCATTAGGATTCATGGACTAAATTAGTTCTACAAGTAATTCTAAAGAGAAGCAAACACACGTTGATAGAGGTGTAATGACTTAAACCGATAGGCCAATGAACGAGCATATTCGTCTATTTCCATTTTGAGGCGCATAATTCACTTTATCTCTCTTTCTTTTATTACACTATGCATAATTATGACAAATTGATGGAAAATGACAGTATTTCACTACATGGCGGATCTTCTTCTTCTACCTCAGAATATCAAGAACCAGTTCCACAAGTAACTCTGTCAGATCGTGTGCTTCGACTACGAAACCACTTGACGAAAAAGCAAATTAGACAATTTATATACAAATGGAGATGGACAATATTCTTCATAATCAACACTATAGTCAGCATAATCCTCATGTTAACATTTCGAAGGCAATTCTTTCAGGCATTAGAAACATTTAGTCATAAACTAAGAGAAATGGGCTACGGGTAAAGAAAGGAATACATTCAAGATAAAAAAAAATAATAATACCAAGAAATTCTTTACAGAGGATACATTCTGATATCTCTACTTATCATTACGAGTGCGTTCCCGCCTATCTTTGGTTACAGTATATATTTGACCTTATCAGGCTATTCTTTTGGGTTCTCGGCTGGATTCCCAATAGCTTATTTCAGTGCTTTGGGTGGTGCCTCTGCCTGTTTTTGGTTGTCAAGAACAATATTCAAGCAAAAGGTTATCCGCATATTAGCCAGATATCCAAGCATGCAAGCAGTTATAAGGGCTGTAGAAAAGAAGGGGTTCAAAGTAAGAGAGAAGGCGACATATGGTCCAAAGGTTTAACCTATTCTTATAGTTATTTACCTTGATTCGACTCTCGCCTTATCCATTCAATTTGCTCAACTTTTTGTTCGCAGCAACTGATATTCCGTTTTCACACTTTGTTGCCGGCACAGCTCTCTCATTATTAAAAATTGCATTACATATTTATATAGGAGCGAACCTTACGTCATTTGCAAAGCATATCCTAGGTGAAGATGGAGATGAAGATATGACCGAAGAGCAAAAGACGGCAGAAAAGATAAAATTTGCAGCAGGCATTGTTGGCTCAATTATATCCTTTGCTGTTATAGCATATGTATACAAGCTAGCCAAAGAGGCAATTGCTGAAGTAAAATTGGAAGAAGATGAAGAGATGCAAGGATTCTTAAATGAAGAGGAGTCTGTGGAAGTTGATGATGATAATGATCACTAGTAGACTGGCCATTTTAGATTGGCTAAATGCAATATATAGCCATTATCCCTATTACCTTTTTGACATAATATTTATTTATAAAATGGTTACTGACCATCTATTGTCATGGGAACAGAACCGTATTATTAGAATAAAGTAACAAGTGATTGGATTATTAAGAAAAACTCCATAATGACAATCACATCAATTGACGAGAGGATCTTGTTAATACCGAAAAAGCAGTATGGAAAAGCACAAGGAAAACGTGGGGTTTTATTGATGCAGGAGAGTTACATAAACATTAGCCATGTCAATCGTAAACAATGGTTGGAGCTTTTTGTTTAACATCATGCATGTGATCGTTGGCTACTTTGAGAATATCCAAGCCCAAGTCGACAGGAGGTGGCAATGAACTGCACATGGAAGCAAATACAAGTAAGCAGACTATTCGAATAAAATCCATAAGTAATCATTTATTTGCATCTCGTCTTTTAAATATTAAATGAAGGGCATGTAAAGGAGACAAACATGATATGAGAGACAGAAAATAATTGGATGAAACCCATCACATTATTATAAATCATTGGTTTGTTCATTTTATTCCATTCTTTTCTTTTTTTTTTTTTTTTCTTTTTTCTTTTTTATAATTCAGTTGAATGGATTACCAAGATCGTTTTGTTCAATTAGTCAAAGACATCACACGATTACAATGGGTTAGAGAGTCCTTACCTTCTCACTCTAAATACTATGAAAGTTTGAAAAAGAAATTGGAAAAACAGACACACCTGAAAGTATTATCTGAAAATGAACTGTAAGCATAAAAATAAAGATAACAATAGTGAATAACATGAGTTTATAGTAAAGAATATCAGCAAAGACAAGATAGTCAGTCATGCTCAATCAATAATAGATTATTTAATAAGGATGATAATACCACACTGCATGGGAAATCCTATAGTAATATTATAGAATCTGTCCGGTTTTATGATAATGCAATACAAAAATTACAATTTGAGATGCAGCAAGCAAAAGAAGTGGTATACTTATGCAAATGTGCATCATTTAACCACTCACTAATATATAATTTTTAGCTACAAGACTTGAATACAGAAAAGAGAAAGCTGGATCGTTTATGTGATGAACTGCATTTGTTATATGACCAAGTAAAGTGGTTGATCCTTTATAAATATCTAAACTCTAACGCATCTTTATTAGATCATTATTGAAGATTCAGAAGATGCTACTTTTATTTTTGGTCAGCATCTGAAACGTGATGTCGAACAATTAGCTGCAGATATACCGAATGTAAAAAATACATTAAATCGTGTCCTTGTTCCTCAATGTATTGACCACTTGTATGCATAGATCAAAAAAAACATTGAGGTATACAAGATAGCTCAAGCAAAACTTTATGAAGCAAGAGAACTTATAGAATCTGCCATGCGTTCCTTACCGGGAGCTGCTTCGTTTATGGACAGACAAGCGATTGCGTCTAAAAATAACAAGGGAAATAATAGCAATTCGTCCATACTTGGCAAACGACCCGTTCTGATGGTCGATACTATCAAACAGGCTGAGAACATTGCCCAAAGGTCTTATCAACTTGTTGCAGAGGCGGCATCCATATGTCCTGATGTTCCTAATATTCCCTCAAGTCCGATACAAAAGAATGAAACAAATGTAGTCATTCTTTTAACAAACTATCGTGGATACAGACTCAAGGTGGAGACCATTTTGAGAACACAGGTCAATCCTCGGCTACATGGCTATGAGAATCAACTAGCAAGCGCAAAATATCACTATGAACAACGGGTGATCGAGTGGATTGATCATCAGATCATCACACTTGAAGCTTACTTGCGAGCCAACGGCTGTTTGCTGAATGATAATCTAAATAGAGAAATTTCTATGCTCAGGATGGGATCGAGAGCTGCCAGAGCTGCAGTGGCATCGGAAGCAAGCGAGCGAGTAACGGTAGATGATGTACTAGAAATATCAGCAGGCGAAGGGACAGCATTACCTGAGTATGCTATGATTGAGCCTAATAGTCATAGTGTGAGCAGTAGCAGTGATAGTAGCAGTCATACAGATGATTTAGATGACATGAATCATTCCAGATTGACTCCAGACACCACTTCATGTGTAAATACAAATTCAACCCCCATTGTGCATAATCATGATTTACCTTCATACACCTTTCATGAGCATCCTCCAGCTTACTCGGCATAAAAACTACAAATTGCAGGCATTCATTCTGAAGTGCAAGAATAATAAAGTTCCTTTATTATTTGATAATCCTATTTATTAGTGTTTAATGATGCCATAGATATTGGTGTGCCTTGTTATCAACTTGACCATTGCCAAACTGTCAAGCAAAAAATGAAGTAAAAAATAGAAACAAGCTACATTCGTATCACTTGATTTAAAAATAGAACTAAGCACTTTCACTATAAAAGGAAAAAACATAGGCTTGGCCGATATCATTGTTTTAACCAAATTTAATATAGAAGTTTGTTTTTAGTTTGCCTTCTCTTCTTTTCAGTCTATTATTTAAGCAAAGCTTTTCCTTTTTCTCTCTCTCTTTTTTTTTCTTACGTTATGTTGACTGCACAAGAAATTGCTTGGGTGATTTATGCAATATTCTTTACGGCACTTTCGTTGGCTCTTGTCATTCGTAGCCGCCACCATGTGTTACTACTACCCTTTGTTCTTTTTAGCATACTGACAAGCATTGCACTGATTGTCATGCTTAGTGCTCATTACAATTACATACTAACCGAGACATGGGCGAGTAAAAGTCTTGCATTGAACATCCTACCCGTGATTTCATTGCTTGTATTCCTTGGCATCATGGAAGCTCAAATTTTATTTATCCGACAAGTTGCTACTGCCCTTAATAACCGAGAACGATGGCGTAGCATCTATCTACGTGATTCTGAAAAGCAGGAAGGATTCCCGGTAAGGCAACGCAAACAGCCTCTTCATCCGTGGAATTATTGGACGAGCATCGCGATCCTGATTATTTACGCTTTGGTTGTGCTTTGTTGTATCATTTTACAACTATTGGCGTTTCGAATGTCTTCGGTCAAGACACGAGATTTGGGTATGGCCATCTGTATAACCATACTATTTATACTTTCGAGTACGAACTGCATTGTGATATGGAATAGCTCAGCGTCAAGCACTATTCGCCAAAACAGAGACGATACACTCTTCTTACGTTGCGTGCCAACCTTGTTCTCCATGGCACTTGCAGGCATGTGTATATTGGCATGGATACACTATGGAGCCTTTGGATATCCACTAGCGGCTTGGATCCTGGTCGAGAGTCTACTTGTTTATCTTCCGTTTACTCTGATATTATGCATGAGTATTCATGTTCGTAAATTTAAATCAATGGGGCGACAGTACCCAAATCAGTATTCACCAAAGACTATTCGGGAAATCTCATTTGTAACAAAACGACTGACAGCAGAGGAAGTAAATCAAAAATATGCATATCCTCCTCCCAGCTACTATCCATATTAATACTTGTAAATATACTTAATAAAAGCACTTTGTAAATGTGTTTTCCTTTTGGTACATATTTAAATGTGGCCTTAATTTGATCAATTCAAACCATCACCACATATTCTGTTTATCCCCCTGAAAAAGGTAAAGGATCTTCCTGCAAGTAAAGCGATATGCCATGTGATTTACTCTTTACTTTCAAGAGCGTTGCATAACAATTAATTCTCAGATTAGCCAATCAATATATCTTTGAGTCATACTTATTTCTGACCTATGCTACACTTTCACTTTTTCTTTTTCTTTTTTTTTTTTTTTTTCTTTTTGTAAATATAAGCAGTAATAATGCGTCTATTAAAAGAAGCTACATCAAAGAGCCGATATTATTCAAGTTTAGCAGTGTGTCATCGGCCTACGATCCAACATGCTTCACCCACAAACGATAACCAGCATTTTTATATGAACAAGATACTAGACAATTATCTTGGACGAAGCCCAACGCCTTTAACCCTACGGCAGCTCATATTTTATGAAAGGCATTGTAATACTGAAAGATTACTCAAATCGGCCAACTATGTGCGTCAAGAGCTTCCAATTCGAATCGCTCATCGTATACGAGAATTTCAAAAGTTGCCATATATCATGGGTACAAACCCTCATATCCAATGTGTCTATGACCTCTATTGGCAAGCATTTGATAGGATACGTAAAATACCCGAAATTCAGAGCCGAGAAGAGAATGATGCGTTCTGTCAAGTGCTTCAAAGTTCGCTTGATGCTCATCAGGTCGTCATCCCAGAATTAGCCAAGGGTCTTCATGAATGTGAGGAAAATTATCAATCTGTCATGCCCATGGATAGGCTAGATCGATTTATGGATGCTACCCTTAGATCACGCATTTCAAGGCGCGTGATTACAGAACATCATTTGGTATTATCGGGAAAGAAAAAATCCATCTTTAACCGATGCTCGTCCTACGATACCCTCTCCAAATGTGTCCAGCTAGTGCAAGATCATGCGGTAAAAGTGAGGCTCGTGAACAACAAACAAGATCTGCCTGAGGTAGTGTTTAATGGCCAAGATACCGAATTTACATATGTGTCGGATCATATCGAATATATACTTTATCAGCTATTGTCAAATGCTATGCGACATACCATTTTGAACCAAAAGAAGACGATTAGAGTGACATATTGCTCAAATGAGACTGATATTCTCTTTCGTATATCAGATGAGGGAGGAGGATTGGCCAAAAATAGATTTGCCAATATATGGTCTTATGGAAACCATAAGAATATGGAGCAAGTAGAGCAACTAGAAGCAAAATTGACTGAACAAGAGAAAAATCTTACTATTCGGTTGGGCATCGGTCTACCTATGAGTAAGGTGTATGCTGAATATTGGGGTGGAAGTCTACAATTGGTCACAATGGAGGGTTATGGTACTGACGCTTATGTGAAGATCCCAAGGCTAGGTACTCAAAATGAAAATCTTCATAATAACGATTCACCCCTGGATGGTGCCATTATGTAGATCTATATGAATAAACGACCCTTTCTTTTTTTTGTACATATATGCATATATTTCTATAATAAACACACTCACTCTACTTAAAGTCGCACTCATTTAAAAATTAATGGCATGTTTGAATTGGAAAGTGCATCTATACTATACAAAAAAGAATATCTCCCTTTCACTGCCACCCTGACCAACAGAACATATGCCAAGTAAAGCTGCTGACACAAGCATAGTTTTAACGGCAGCAGCATGAATTTCGTAATTGTAACTCAGAATCAGTTTTTCGCCCGGTCCGCAAGACGTCAAGTCTCGAAGAAGTATCAAAGTGATATCTTGATGGCAGCATGAGCGAAACCTGAAATCGTCCTCTTCTCCTAGTAGTTTAAAATGGTAATACACTATTCGAATAACGCAAAATGGTCCCTATAAACACTATGCAGATTGGATGATATATTAGATGGATGCACATGGATCTTTTTAGAAAAAGTAGATAGTGTATACATATATATTTGCAATTCAATCGTTGGATTGTAAATACACAGCACACACACACACACACACATACACACACACATGTCAGCATTAATGATGATAAAAATAGACAACATGTTTTCAAAACAAGAGAAACATAAAGCAGTAAATGAGACCAAAAGAATATAAAGACAAATAGTCTTACACAGCCAACATTCAACAACAACAACAAATGCATAGTGTTTATACGGCAGTTGCAGCATAAAGAATAATGCACCAGAATAGTTGATTGACAATATTATTTCTTAGGGTATTGACCTTAAGCGTCATCACGTTAAGAACTCTAACCGCAGTGCTCCCAAGTCCGACAATGTCTACTTGGCCCTGTTGGTCAAGGTAACAAGAGAGGACAAGAGTTTCTTTTTTCTTTTTGCTGACTGATCATTACAACGTAGCTTTACCGTTTCCTTGCCCGTCGCACTGATGCCAAGTTCAACAAGGTCGTCTTGAAGCGTCTCTTTATGTCTCGTGTCAACCGTCCCCCTGTCAGTCTCTCTCGCGTTGTTCGTAGCGCCAAGAGCAACAGCACTGTTGTTATTGTTGGCACTGTTACTGATGACAGCCGTCTCCTCGAAGTTCCCAAGATCTCTGTTGCTGCTCTTCACTTCACCAAGACTGCCAAGGCTCGTATCTTGAAGGCTGGTGGTGAATGTTTGACCTTGGATCAATTGGCTCTCCGTGCCCCTACTGGTGCCAACACCGTCCTCATCCGTGGTGCCAAGAACGCTCGTGAAGCTGCCAAACACTTTGGCTTCGGTCCTCACAAGAACAAGAAGCCTTATGTCCGTTCTGAAGGCCGTAAGTTCGAACGTGCTCGTGGTAAGCGTTCTTCTCGTGGCTTCAAGGTTTAAATGACGACCCGCTCGTGAACAATACGTGTGTATGTGTATGTGTGTAAGATTGTTTAAAAAGAGAAAAAATGAACGAGATAAAAGTAAATACAATATTTCTTTTTGTACAGAGACAAAGTTTATTATTGATACATGTTTATTTCTTTTGCTTTGATTCCAATTCAGCCAACTGTTTCTTGATTTCAGCAGTTTGCTTTTCTTGTTGTTCCAAGTTCTCTCTTAACTTTTTGAGTAATTCAGCATCCTACAGATATGCTTTGTTTAGCCTCCCCTTTCTCTCTTTCTCTGCATGTTTTTCTAACACAATCACTTACATGTTTACGAGCCCATTGGTTTTCAGCAGCTTTTTCTTTTTCACCAAAGCCTTTGGAGCCAGCAGTAGCGCCTTCATTGCGAACAACAGAGGTCATGTGAATAGAACGACGAGTTAAATAGGTACGAACGGCAGTAGAGAACATTTTTTTATGATGAGAAAGCGAAAAAGAGCGATAAGAGGACGTGGAAAAATGAACTGCGCTTTATATCTTTACAAGGTTGCTGGCTTGTGTTACCAATTACATAATGGTACGATAAACAATTTTGGTATCTTTGACACTAAGGCTGGCGCCATTTGTTCACGTCGCATATTATTTAAACTACGTTCATTGTTTATTACAATTCATGACGTTTTGCCTATCATCTTGATTATGTGTCATTATTAAGGCTGATTGTACACATTTCAGGGCTACTACTACTACTACTACTGTCATAATACAAGTCAGATAAATAATGACACCATTCAATTTGCTTTCACAAAGGGACGTCTCACCTAGAATACATGTGTTGAAACAAAAACTCTTTTTCTTTCTTTCCTTTCTCTTCTCTTGAAGCTTATAATTAAAAGAATGATTCATTTGACTGAAGAGAAAATATTATATGTATATACAACTCTTGCATGAACGCGCGTAAAAATAACATCAGTCTAACAGCGGCACCTGAATTTAACTCCCTTCTCTATGGCTTATTCCAAACCTTTTGTTTCTCAACAATGGTAAAGGAATCAAAAGAATTCAACTTTGAACAAGACGAAAAAGTATTATGCTATCATGGACCATTTATATATGAAGCAAAGGCAATAGACCTTTTGTCATTATTTAATGTGTAATTATAAACAGTCTATGTATAGATTATCAAAAGAGAGAAAAAAGAAGAGGATGATCAAGAAGTCAACATGTACTTTGTACATTACAAAGGCTGGAAACAAACGTAAGTGAAACATCTCTTTTATTTATATATACATTCAATCTCGTATGTAGTTGGGATGAATGGATTACAGAAGACAGGGTTTTGAAATACACAGAAAGTAACCGTCAAAAACAAAAGCAGTTACAAGAAATGAATGCGCGATTAAAGACATCACGAGCACCAACACGAGAATCAACAGAGCCTAGAGGTAGAAAAAGATATCGTGACTCTGATGTTGAACGACAAAGGGCAGAGGAAGAGACGAGAAGAATAGAGTTTAAATTGATCATGCCAGAGACACTCAAAGGCATCCTGGTAGATGACTGGGAAAATATCACAAAGAATCGACTTGTTTTAAATATTCCAGGCGAATATACTGTAGATAAAATACTAGATGAATACAAGAATCAATATCCTGTGTAAGAAGCATATGTGCGTCTATAGATAAGGGTCCTGACACACCTTATTTGATCTGTAGAAAAGACGATGTATTGGATGAATTTATAAAGGGCATACGATTATACTTCAACAAGACACTAGGATCGCTCTTATTGTATAGAAATGAACATGATCAATATACTGAACTATGTGCAAATAAAGAACCTAGTAGCATATATGGTGCTGAACATCTACTTCGACTCTTTGGTAAACATATAATTTGTTTATAATACAACATGACTGATATGTTATAGTTGAAATGCCCAATCTTTTGGCACAAGCAAGCATTGATGCAGAGACACAGAATGAACTAAAGAGCCGTTTTGAAGACTTTTTGAACTATATGCAGGAACGTGAAAAGGATTACTTTTTAAATGATTATCAAACAAAGGCATAATAAACATTCATTCATTCTTTTTTTACGTGCTTCTTTATTAATATTATTTGCACGCATACGAGTAAAATGCATTATGAGGGATTTATGAAAGGAGAGGATTTAGATATTTACATATATATGTTGTGGAAAAGACAGAGAGAACACAGTTGTATAAATAAAAGAAAAAAAAAAAACTTAGCTCTTATTCATTTCACTACCATCGTCATCAGTGGCAATTTTGCTCTTGTCTGTCTGACCATGCCTCTTCTTCTTTCGAGAGCCCCAATGTCTGTCCACGTCTCTTCCATACCAAACGAATAGTTCTTCATCTGGTTGAATATCTCGCTTTGTCCAGCAGATAACCTGATTAACGACGACGCCTTCGACAAACAAAATATTAGCTCCTTTTTCATCACTTTCATTCATAAAATGGAAAGGACAATATCTTGGATTCTCTGGATCAGTCACTGGTTGGCCACTTTCATCTGTGGCGTCCAAGACCGTTCTTCGGTACATGATGGAGTATTCAGACGATCGCCCCACACGGTCCTTGAGAGAATCAAATTCATCTTCAGTCATGGGCACACCAAAATAGAAGCCTATGGGGGCATTATAAGGTAGCTTTCGTTTAGCAAAGAGACCCAAACCAGCACCTGGAATACGTGACGGAGCTACATAGACAATATCCTTCCAAGAACCAGGAATATCACTCAAGTCCAGTTCATCAAGCGTGTATGTTGGCATAGGAGGGTGGACGACTTTTGTTTTGAGTGAAGGTGATTTTCTGCTTTTTCTCTTTTCTTCATTATCTGTCTCAGACTTGAATGGCTCTGTGACATCAGAAATAGGTGTAAGCATAGTAACTGCTTCTGGTTCACTTGGAATGGATTCCCTCTTCATTTCTGTGTCTGTCACAGGGGGTGTTTGACAGTCCTCAGGCACTTCTTTGATCACTTTTGGAATGCCAAAGCAATAAGGCCAATCGTGCTCTATCAACTTTTTCATCCATTTCTGATATTCTTGAACTGCTTTCCCTTCATCCCCAGGTTCATAGGCCAACTTAAACCAGGTTGACTTGCTTCCTTCTGGTTTAAAAGGTATAAAATAACGATCACTGTTTACTGTTAATGAGGCTGAAGCAGAATTGGCAGGTGTCTGAATCAAGGTTAATTTTAGTTTAATTACATATAATCAACATACCTTGCTACGAAACACACGAGGCAAGCCGAGTTCAGCGCTTATTTTTATATCTAATTCAAGTGCTGAATTGATCAGTTGAGCACGAGGTAAGCAGTGATCAGGATGCTGCCTTAAGGCCAGAAATAACATGTATGATTGATTGTGCCATCGTGGATGCTCGGTTGGACGTAATTTCTTAAAGCTGGAAGCAACCTTTCCTCTTTCTTCTTCTTCTTCAACAAGTCTTTTAACAGAAGTTCTTTTTATTTCTGTTTCAAGGCTTTCAGTGATTGTCATTTATATAAAAATATATAAAAAAAAAAAGAAACGGCCAAACAAATCATTTGACAGCGCACTTTCAATGACGATCGAGGGCTGCCTTCAGGGTCAGTCAAGGCAAGCACGCGCCATCAAATGGGTCTTCGGAATCAATGCATGTGATAATAGAAAATAAGCAAATAAGAAATGATTATTACAATGTGATTCAACTTGCTACTCTACCAATCATAGACTTCCTTCATGCTTATCAAAAAATAACGAGTATAAATACCTCTGTTTTTTATATATGCGCTTTTTCATCATCATCAACATCTTTACTTATGACAATTGATAATAAAGAACCATCAAAAAGCCTTTTGGCCAGATCAGGCTATCTTAATGAAGGTACGTTTTATTTTGATTTATCTATGTGGTAACCCATTATACTGATATATTTATAGGCACCGCAATGGATCCAAAGAAACGTCAAGAGCTTGGCTTGAATGGTCTTTTACCTGCAAAAATAGAGACATTGGACATTCAAAAGAAGCGATGTCTACACGTCCTTCGATCAAAATCAAATATGCTTGAAAAATATATATTATTGGCTCAGTTAAGAACAAGTAATGTTCGTCTCTTTTACAAGATTGTCATGGATGAATTGGAGGTAAACTGTTATTTTCATATTCACCTTGCTATGACTAATTCAGAGTCATTTAGGAACTTGCTCCCATCATCTACACTCCGACTGTAGGCACAGCATGTCTTGAGTACTCTACCATTTACCCATTCTTGGCTGCACCTGGTGTGCCCGATGGATTATATCTCACCAAGGCAGATTTCCCCACACTCATCCAAACGATAAAGAATTACAAATCCGAATTTGATCCTCAGATTGCTGTCATCTCAGATGGTTCACGTATTCTAGGTCTTGGTGACCTCGGCTCAAATGGCATTGGTATCCCCATTGGTAAACTACAGCTCTATGTTGCTGGTGCTGGAATTGACCCTCGACGTACATTACCCATCATCCTTGACTTGGGAACAAACAATGAAAAATTGTTAAATGATGAGTTTTACATTGGTCTTAAGCAAAAGAGACCTAATGACGAAGAGGTAAGCAAGCTTCTTACTTTGTTAGACCAATTAATTTAGATATATAGTTTTATGAAACAGTCGACATTGTGATACAAGCACTCTATACAGTGTATCCAAACTTGCTTCTTCAATTTGAGGATTGGTCATCCGAGCACGCCTTTGGTTTACTCGAAAAGTATAAGAATAAAATTCTATGCTTTAATGACGACATTCAAGGCACAGGGGCAGTCATTTTATCAGGCATCATCAATGCTATCCGTAAAGTACAGGCTGAGGACTGTGTGTCACCAAACAGCCACCGTATTGTGTTCTATGGAGCAGGTTCTGCTGCCATTGGTGTAGCTCGTCAGATACAAGACTATTTCCAATTTGAGCATGGACTATCCGAAGAAGAAGCCAGAAACTTATTTTGGATTGTAGACTCCAAGGTAAGAATTCACTATATCATCACATCATGTGTATACTCATTTGCCACAGGGTCTAGTCACAAAAAGTAGAGGAGACAAGCTTGCACAGCATAAGGTGTATTATGCAAGAGAGGATAACGATGAGCAAGAATACAAGCAATTGATAGACATTGTTAATTACGTGAAGCCAACAATGTAAGTATATGTACCATACATTTTACATTCTCTCACACATTATAGACTCATCGGTCTTTCATCCACGACGGGGGCATTTAATGAGCAAGTGCTGCATCGAATGGGTGAATTGAATCAACAACCGATTATTTTCCCATTATCTAACCCAGCCACACAAGCAGAGTGCACGTTTGAACAAGCCATGGAAGCCACCGACTATCGTGTTATTTTTGCCTCTGGTACAGCCTTCCCTGCATATACAATCCCTTCCACAGGAGAGATCAGATACCCTGGTCAAGGCAACAATATGTATATCTTTCCTGGATTAGGTCTAGGTGCAATTTTATCTCGTCCTCGTCATATCACAGACCGCATGATATATGCTGCAGCCAAAGCATTAGCCGAATCGCTTACAGTAGAGGAACGTCAGCAAGGCTGGCTCTACCCTTCACTCAAGCGTATCCGTGCTGTTTCTTGTAGTGTGGCAACTGCTGTATGTCAAGAAGCTATCAACGAAAACCTAGCAACAGTTTCCATGACCAATATTGAAGACTATGTTACATCTCATATGTGGTCACCTACGAATGACCCATATGGGACACTATACTCGGAAATTCATGCAAGTTTATAACCAAAACCCTCAATAAAAACCTGTTTCACCATATGTGAATTAATCGGAGACTGAAATAAGAAGGAAAACCAAAGTGCAGATAAAAAAAAAGTTTCCTTTTTTAATCTTTTTCCTTTCTTCCTCGTTTATTTTATTTAAAATGCTTTTACTGAGGCATAACACATTATCTGCAGAAGATCTTTTTACTATTGAATGTGTAAGAATGAGAATAGATGCCAACTCTTATCATTTGTAACTTTTTCTCTTTTATTAGAAAATGATCAAAATAGCTGATCAGAACCATAAAATAGGGAACCTGCAGCACTTTACAGTCTTGGATAAATCAAGAGCAGAGCTGTACGGGTACATCCTTGGTTTTTCTGAAAGACTTGGTTTATGCGATTCGATCGGTGTTACACCATCTGAATTTCTCGATTTCTTAATTGATGTGGATCACGGCTATTTACCAAACGCGTATCATTCATTTTATCATGCAGTAGATGTGGCCATTGTACTCTATCAAATGGTATGTCAATATGACGTAGCAAACTATCTTTCAAGGATAGATCTAGCCGCCTTGTTTATTGCTGGGCTATGCCATGATATTGGTCATGTAAAGTATGATTATTATTACTCATATTTATGGACTAATGGGTCTTTAGCCTGGCAAAAATAACAACTATCAAGTTAATTTAAATACAGAATTAGCCAAAAGATATTCCAACAAATCAGTTTTGGAAAGTTACTCATGTACATTGACCATGGATCTATTGACCAAACATAAATTACTAAAGCAGTTGGAAAAAACAAGTTCACTCCTTGGTTTACGTACAACAGAGTCCGAAATGAGAACATCTATCATCAAGATGATTCTAGCAACAGACATGATATTCCATTATGAATTACAAGAGAACTTGGCCAACTTATTAGAACTCGTTGTCGATCATGAAGAGCATACATGTAAAAAAAAGCATAAACCAACCTTACCTTCAACAGCTGAAGAAAATGAAGATGAAAGTGACGATGATGATCAATCGCCCAATGAACCAGAGATCAAAGATATATTTACAAATCAAGGTGCAAAAAGTGCCATTGACTATTTTAGAAAAAAATCTTATTTTGAAGACTCGATCCCACTTTACCTAAAGAACATGCCATTACTACCGGCAAGTCCAGAAGAAGATGAGGATGAAGAAGACGACGAAGACGATGAGGATGATGAGGAAATTTCAGGGGCTATGAATACAACAATAAAAGTGAAGGATAAAACAACGTATACACCGCCGAATTACATCATGGAACCTCAGCAAAGACTCATCCTATGTCAAATCATTTTACATGCTGCAGATATCAGTAATGCTCTTAGACCTTGGCCCATCTGTAAAAGCTGGTCTAATTTAGTGTGTGAAGAGTTCTTTGGTCAAGGAGAAGCAGAAAAGGCTCATGGATTACCAGTTTCTCCCAATATGGATAGAGATCAGGTGAGCCAAACAACGATTGGTTTACAATTTGGCGATTTTGTCGTAAGCCCCTATTTCGAAATATTTGCTGCATTTTTTCCAAAAGCGGATGAATTACTAAAGACATTGGCTGATAATCGTAAAGAGTGGCTAAAAATGGAAGAAGAATTAGCCAAGACTGTTAAAATAGAAGAAAATGAAGGAAGGAATGAAAGGTTACCATCGAATATGCTTCCAGATGATAGACCGATCATCAATCCAACAGGCAGAAGGGTCAGTGTGGCAGCAGGCATGGTTATTATCCCTGATGAACTAGAAGAACGAACCGTGGGCACAGGCAAGAATAAACGAAAATATTGGGGGGTGAGAAGTGTCAGCCACAGTGAAGCATTTGAAGATAGAAAGAGATCAGAGATTGTACGTAGACGAAAGAGTGAAGAGCCAATGAGAAAGATAAAGACGATCAGTCCAATAAGAAAAATAACAAAAAAATCAGTTACTATAAACGCTTGCAGTAGTCGAGATTAAATATTATTTTATGTACAACATACCTCTCTCTCTCTTTTTTTTTTTTCTTTTTTCCTTTTTTTTCGTGTATTTGTATACTAAAAAAATGAACTGTTTGAAAATGGTTTTTAATATCTATCTTTTAACGTCTATTATAAGGCCTAATGAAACCATTCGTCTTACAGATGAATTCATTTCATTATTTACCTTGTCTTTAAAGAAAAAGGACTGGTTCTCTACCATCACCCTCTCCCTTTCTTTTACCGTTCTTGTACTATTCACACTTTTAAAGCCACTATTATCAAATCAAACAGATTCAATTGGGGTCATACAACAAAAAACACATGAAATCAAATGTCCTTTGACTGTCTGTGAGAATAAAATGACTGATGAAAAAGATATCACATCACATTTTATAGCCCAAGAAATAGAAGCTACATCACTTCTATTAATTGATCAAAAAGAAGAAAGCATATCGCCAACGGTAGAACAGCAGAGGTCCATTGATTCACCATTAATGATGCAGCAGGAAGAGCATATGCATACATCTTCATATGTATCAATTGAACAAAAAGATATACCTGCAGCAGTAGTTGAAACTAAAGTAAAACAAACAGGGACTGTCCCAATCGCAACAATGGAAAAAGAAGAGACAGATTCTACCCTATCTGAAATAGTCCAACAAAAAAACATGGTCCCTTTGCCTCAAACAATGGACCAAGAGGAACCATCAAAAGATCAGCATGAAGCAATTCAAGCAAGCAACGATGCATCCAGTCATTATTTGCCACTTAAGCAGCTCCATGTGATGTCAGTGTTACCTAACAGTGATATGGAACAAGTGATCCCATTTACCATAACAACCAGTCTTTTGCATGAAAACGTTGGCAATGACAAATTAATGCACGAGCAGCCTTATCTGACAAGAAAAGACGAATCTCCATCAGAGCATGATTCGTCTGAATCAGAGCAGTCGTCAACGTCTATGCATGAACGACAAGAGGAGCAACAGCAACAGGAAGGATCATCTGACGAATTACCGTCCTATCAATTATCAACAACTACATCCATTTGCTCTCGACGAAGCAGTGAGACGAATGCAACACGTTATACTACACCAAAGAATCAATTTGAGCAAATCGTCACACCTACCCTGGAAGAGAAACAGCCTTTGAAGGACGTATCTATCGTAAATGAGTACAATATTATGCCCCAACCAGAAAAATCAAGCTCAAGCTTGAGTAAAAATAGATTTTCATCTATTCGTTTAAAAAGGAAAAAGACTGTAAACAAAAAAGCAGCCGAAGCTTCAGTATCCAATGGACCCGAACCTTCACCCAAACCTTCGCCCAAACCTTCACTCAAACCCTCAGTTTCTACAAAAATACAGGAAAAGTTGAAAAAGTCTGGCAAGCGATTTACCAAAATGTTTTCTTAATCTTAGTTTCGTAAATAGTGTCTTATAAATAATATCCCCATCTGCTAGTATTGCATAATGTATACTGTAGTCATTTTTTTAACTCTAATATAAAATAAAGCTATATTGTTTAGTCTGTGCAGTGACCTGGTGCATGTCAATGTTAATATGCGAAAAAAAAAAAAAACACGTTTGAACAACCTTCTTGACTGAATAAATCGTTTACTTACGGTCTGGATGGCAAATAGTAGTCTGGTGGTATTGGTGTATTCCTTTTTCTAGGCACCCAGTGCCTCATCCTATCAACATGGTTGTATATCTAGTCGGAAAAGCCTTATCAATCCGCTATAAATACTCCTCATTTACTCAAAAACACTTTTAATTGGGTTACCAGGTATATTTTTGGCAGCGACAGCAACTCTAATATCATTAATATTACCTTACAGCTATCTACGACAGTGTTAAGGCCAAGCAGTCTAATCATAAGGCAGCTTTCAGAAATTATTCGCACAAAATTTAAAATCAATAACAATTGCACTTTAGTTGCTTATCAATCTTTTCTTTATTATTAAAAAGGCAATAAATTTTGTCTTTTTGACAGAAGAGAAGATAAATGTGGTCATCACTTATGAATAAGACGTAACTGAAATAGTTACTAGAGACTTCATATAAATAATCTGATCTTGACTTCTTTGCTTCTTTGGACCAAAAAGTAAGATCAGCTATCCCCCAGCTAGCCCTAAGATATGTTATATTCTTTGCCCTTGGAAGAAACTGACGTGTAGTATTATAGACCATTGTCATATTTGACCACGTCTAATACTAATCTTTACGTGTGAGATTACATTTGACTTGATTACATGTACCTTACTTAGTACTCTGACCTCTTTTAAGCAACCTAATTTCTTTTTGCTATGAGCTCTTCCTCTTACTTCTAATAAAAAGATAAAACAAAGACTCAACACTTTTTTGCTTTTATTCTTACACATTTACACAAGTGCTAAAAACAAGAACAACAACAAAGCTACAGTCACTACCTCAGTCGTAAAATCGAAGCTAACCCGGTTCTAGCTGGGGGTAGTTTGGTTCTTACCAAAATTTGGTCTCAAACACTCTTTCAGCCCCTTCCACTCCTTTGGTCGCTCTCTTTCTTGCTCTCACTTGATCGCTCTTGCTTGCTCTCTCCGATCTGGTTATCGCCAGCCCAACTCAGGATACATTTCGGGTAAGATATTGATAATTTCCCATACATTTACTCACTTTTCTTGCTTCTCTTTTTCTATTATAAACTTTCTTCTTTATAATGTAAGTATTTAATATTAATGTAAGCAACTGATTTATTAATCTTTTCTTATATCCCATTCTTTTGTTTCTTGTAGGTTCTCTTTTATTATTATTTTGTTGCCTAATTTGTTGTCTGAAATTATCATTTTTTTTATCAGTGTGTGAATAAAGTGTAAGGCGGCTTTCTTATGATCAGCGGGAATTTCCCCTTTTTAAAGGAGGATATCTCGATGCCGTGACTATTGGCGTGAAATCCGTTTGCTTTAACAGCCTACGTACCATTTTACTTTTTCACTGGGCGGTTTTTACAGAGTTATGATGAGTAGGTCAGTTAAGGATAGCTTTTGAATTTAATACAAGAGTAAGAAATATACTACAACTTGAGGGATAGATATCCTTTTTGATGCCCTCAAGACTGACCCTTCTTTTAGGAACTGATTTCCTCATTGCTAAACTGTCTACTTGTTTCAGGTGATATAAACAACCAAAAAAGAGACTCTTCTTAAGTACATCGCTTCTTGTTATGTGAATACTGAATCTATATAATCAAACAAACATTTAGGTATAGTCTTGATGATAACTTGAGTTTATGAGCGACTACCAGATCTTACAAAGTCAATTGATCAGATTATTAAAAGAGTCTCCATAAAGAAAATTAAGAATAAGACCAAGGACCTTTTATAAAAGCAGTAGAATCTGTTTATTGCAAAGAATACAAGATATAAAGAATGATTGATTCCATGAATTAGTGAATGATTTCAAAGAGATAACAAGGGAATATGGCTATTTATATTTCTTATGATGACCGTAGGATTACTTTTTCGTTTTATAAAAAACCGTTTAAATACCCTACTCAGGAGCCACATTATATATGAACTAAAAATACAGGATTTGATGAATTGAATTGAATCACTTAATATGTAGAATATTCATGTTTATCTTTACAACCTTTTCAACATAATAAAACTTTTGGTTATGCCGACAATTTTCGTTTTAGCTATACTGAAAAAAAGGTACCTTTGGTTGTGAAGCTTATACCATCTCGGTCACCTACGTTTTTAGTGATATAAATATATAATACATTATAAGCTCGAGTACAAACAATAAGATAACAGAACTCTTGGTTGAGACTTCGCGTCTCTCTCAGGGTAGGTGTAATAACTCTGTACTTAATATATAATGCAAACATACAATAATACTAATATTTACACTTATAATAATCATGAAAAAGTCAGTAATTACACTACAACATAATCATATCATATAACAACACCATGTGCATTCTGGTATCGCCAGTAACAGTGGCATCGCAGTTCCAAATATCTCTTCTAAATATATTCCCAAATAAATTTTTTTTTCTCTTTTCTTTTTTCTCTTCAATAAAAAGGTCCAAATTGTTAATCATTGACTTCTTGTTCCTTTAAAGCTAAGCGACTCAACAAACACCACAGTTACATTACAAAGCGACTGGCATCGTCATCGTCTGTTTCATTACACCATAAAAGCAAAACAAAAGCGATATGCATCAGTCCACGTGTCGGCATTTCAATATATTAATATGTCATCAAAAATACAATCTCCGACAAAAATTCAGTGTAAAAGGTATTGATATCAGTGGGGTTCGAACCCACGCCCGCTTACGCGGATTAGATCTTAAGTCTAACACCTTGGACCACTCGGTCATGATACCACGTCTTTCTTGTTGGAGGTCTAAAATTATATTATTGCATCTATTTCACGTGATTATCACGTGATGCAAAGATACAAATTCCTTCCTTTAACAATAGCTGATTAATGGGAGTGCCTGTACTAGAAGAGGTTCAAAAGTACTTGGCAAAGAATTTACGACACTGCTTGTATTCATTCTATATTTAGCATTACGTACTGTTATTAATTTAGTTGGGAACATGTTAGATTGTAAGTCATTAATTTTACACACTACAGGGATTAAAAAACCATTCCGGCGTTTTTCAAAAGACTGCTTATACCATTGTAAATAAAGAAATAAAAGCAGCTTACGTGTCCTTTCGTGTTATATTATTTATTAGCCTCTTTGGTGAAATCAGTACTTTAATTACCAACTAGATTTAAATACACCATCTTAAAAATGAAAAGTCTACTGGGACGGTTTTTCAGCTGTCATTAATATTTGGTGTTTCCACCTTTCGCATCTATCACAGCTTTCACTCTTGCGGATATACTGTCTATATATTTACAGCATATATCAACGCCAAATGTATTCCATTCATTTTGCATTCTTTCCCAAAGCTCGTGAACGCCTCTAGCTCTCTGTTCGTATATTGCTAATTTCAATTTCAAATGTCTCCAAATGTGCTCAATTGGAGATTATGCTGGCCAGGGAGGAACAGTATACTCCCTTCGTCATGTAAATGCTTTTTGATCATTTTTGCTGTATGTTTCGGATCGTTGTTATGCTAAAATATGAAGTCCTCATTACACAGATTGCAGTAATTTGAGGTGCCTGTTAAGTCTCCATCAAGTATTCGGACGTAGTCTTCAGCGTTCATCCTACCATTGTAGACCTCGCAAATACACCCTATTCCATGTGCCGCCATACTGTCCCATGCCATCAGGCTTCCGCCTCCATGCTTAACAGCAGGTGTGAAGCGGTGCGGCTGCAGCTCACTTGTAGATAAACTCCAGTAACATTCGATACCATTCGAGTCCCAGATGTTGATTTTTGACTCATCAAATTGCCTTTCGCTAGTCATGTATAGTCTAGCTCCTATGCGCCAAATTTCAATTCAGGCGCCCTTTTCTGTGCTTTGATAAAAATGGTATCTTTCTCTTTGGGTGGGCTTTGAGACCGATAGTCTTCAGTGCATTCAAGGTAGTAAAGTAAGTTAGATTTGGATATAGAGTCATGAGAAGCTGATGAACCTCCACACCAGCCTCGAAATCGCTAGTAAGCACTATTCTCTTCGTCAATCACCTGCTAGTTCCATTTAAAACAGCAGATCTTCTATCAAGATTAGCCGGGCGCACAATACGCCATGCATCACAATAACGCAAAACAGTATATTTGAATACATATAAACGTTGGGCAATTTCCTCAAATGACATATCGTATTCATATAAAAGGGAGCGAAAGCTGCTTTGTAAACCTTGAGGCATAGAACGGGTCATTTAAGCTGAAAAATATGTATAAGGTTATTAGGAAAGATAGTAGAAAGAAAGGCGTTTCAGTGCGTTTATATACTTATGAAATTTTGCATATATGCTAAAAAGGGATTATTTAACTATTACAAACAATTAACAATAATAGAAGGGCTATGCGTTTTTTCGAATTTCCAGGAGACACTTAGACAAAGTGGGAGCTACACAAAAGAAATCACTGAAACGGATTTTTAGCTCACTGTAAATGCTATATTTAATGGTTACAATACACTTTTATACTTGCTTTAGAAACAAAATAGAAAAGGATTAAACGTTGATGAGCTCCTTTTTAAAAGAGAAAGATGGGATAATGACAAAATAAAAGCAAAGTAAAGCTTTTTTTAATTTACAATCAGACATGTAATCACTCTAATCACTCTAATATCACTCCAATATCACTCCAATATCACTCCAATATCACTCTAATATCACTCTAATATCACTCTAATATATCACTCTAATATATCACTCTAATATATCACTCTAATATATCACTCTAATATATCACTCTAATATATCACTCTAATATATCACTCTAATATATCACTCTAATATATCACTCTAATATATATACTGAAACAAGCATGCAGAGAAAGAGTTGCAGCATCTCGCCGCAGACGTCGTGCCGAAAACCAACAAGAAAAAGCTGGCGTTACCACTAGACCTAGAGGCAGACCAAGAAGAACAGCTGAGTCCGTTGATGCTGAGAGTAGACCCAGAGGCAGGCCCAGATCTGACCATGCTAACTGAATGCCAGCCGCATACAGCTCACAGTTATCCCGCCTTCGCCTTTTGGAGCTGGGGAGAATGGACAAGGGATGTTCAAACTGCCACGCTTTGCATTGGATAGATGAAATACAACAGAATTCTTCGCAAAGCAGCCCTGTCTGGGAATCATACTGTAAGCAGGATTTAGTCCAACTGCCACTCCTGGCACAACTACCTGGGTACTTGAAAGACTTACTCGCTCGCACAGATGCTATAGGACACCAGTTCAAGGACAACCTGCGTCAATACAACGCCACCTTTGCATTCACCTCGCTAGATTGTAACATTGCTTCTTCTGAGGAACGAACCAGCAATGAAAACAGCAGAGGTGGTCTGCACGCATTTCAAATTCATGGTGAACCTTATCACCTCCAAGGCCCCTTACTTCCCAGTGATGATAATTCCAACCTTTCATATGCTCAGCTTTACATATACGACCCATCATATGCAGCTGAAAGACGCTCAGAGAGAAATAGCAATCTTGATCCTGAGATCATAAGAGAGCTTTCCTTCATGCTCTCGCAGTGTAACCCATTTGCCCAAATTTACCGCCACGCATATGAGATATTGAATGAGCGAGAGAGCAGCGATGACTCAGCTAACAACAACAACGCCTCACCTGATATAGTTATTTCTTCTAATATGAGAATGCGATTAATCGAAGGAGGTGATAGACGCACCCAAAATTTGCCGACCATGGAAGAGGCTGCCGCCATCATTCCCACTGAGTATGGTGACAGAAGCTTTCATGATATTGTTCTAACCTTGAGAAGCGCAGTTAATAGCACCAGCATTTCATTACGTGATTAGCACCCTCTACAATTATTGTTATTCTATAACTCTTCTTTCGTATTTTTAAACAAAATGCGCGATCAACTCCGTAATATACTTAAAGCAATGTATGAGAGAAAAACAAATAGAAAATGAGAAAAATCAAACAATAGTCAAAGGTAAAAAATGAAAATCTCAGTCATCTTCGACTTCATAAGCATCATCCGTGTATTATAGTTAGAACCAAGAGAAAAAGGGTGAGTGAAGTAGAGAATATTAAGATCAAAAAAGGAAAGAAAAAGGTAATGTTTGTGCAAGTTGCCACACAAGCATGCAAGATCTCCATTATTCCCAAATCGAAAGCTAACAAACCAAAAAGTACTTCAGCAGCTCATGGGGAATCGAAAGACAGCAATAGCCAAAACAAAGCTAGAGACTATCCTGCGTCCTGCCCATAGAAGCATAAAAGACATTAGGAACATTTTAGTTCGTGCTTGTGATATGTCTTGAATATATAAAGAAGTGATAGGGAAGTATAAGTCGATGAGTCTCTATATAACCTCTTTATTGTATATAAGATAAGACAGAGCTCATTATTACAAACAGCGTCGTTTTATATGAAGACATAATTATTAAATAACCGATTTAGTTATGACCCATAAGAATTGGGTATGTCGCATTATTAGATAATAGCGTGTTTTGTAGTCAGTCTCTTTGTATTACTCTTTTTTAGAGTAGAGATTTATAGTAATCTCATGCGACAGGGTTAAACATTTATAGGGTAAATACGACAGTGCTTATGATTTCTTAAAGTGTGCCAATAATTTTGAGAAAAAGTGTATCACCCTCTTCCTCAGAGCTAAACACAGTTGAGTAGCTGTGGTCAGTCGCCAGAAGCAACTGAAAAGGACCTGTTTGTGAAAGAAACTCTATCGATAAGAACAACTATGTAATAAAGTAAGCATCAATCATTTAGAAGAACTCATATGGCCTCTTGATTTGACCCACATTTGTCTCTGACCACAAAAAGTTCCAAAATAAAATGAAATTATGAACATATTACTTTTCTTCTTTTCTTTCTCTTTTTACTCAACTTTGACAACAATATTGACATGTTTAAAAACATTATTCAAAAGAAGAAAGAGCAAGTCATTAATAAAAGAAAATTGACAGGAGACATAGATGATGCGTTTGAAGGTAAATCTCATATAGCGCATATGGCATTTGTAAAATATTCACTGATACATTGGTATATAATATAGATATGATTTGTAAAGACTGCCAGGAGAATGGACATGCCAACAAAAGTTACTATAAATGCAAATTTTATAAAGAAGCTTCTGCAGACGATGGTAACTCACCATTATAAACTAATATTCAAAACTTATTATATCTCTTATTAAAGTTGGAACATCCACTGGAAAAAAAAGAAAACAAAGTTCAGGCGTGAAGCAAGAAAAACAAAAAGCAAAAAGACAAAAAACAGCAGCATGTTCTTCATCGATTGTTTGTAGTAGTTGTAAACAAAATAGCCATAAGTCAGCACGCTCTCCAGATTGCCCTAATCATATGTTGTCAAAAAACGAGGTTTTTAGCCGAAATTTGGGACAACAATTTAAAGCACTCACAAGAAAGTTACCGTTTGATCAATGTGCCCACAGTTCCTACCAGAGTGCTTTGAAGTCTAGGATCATCTCTGCATGTGAAGACACGCGGCAAGTGGTATTCAGAGCTCAGCTTTTAATCAACCAGTACACATTGAACTTAAAAGTCCATTCGAATCATATCTTTAAACAAAATTTTTGGTATCCAATATGTCAATTAGTTATGGATAAGCGAGTGACAAACAGTGCTGCACTTCCAGAAGGCTTACTTGAAAACTGGAATTTGTTTAGGCAAAGTCATGGAAGCATCATATATACCAAAAAGCTTGCGAGTGGAACTAGCCAATGCCTTTCAGAAGCATGTGTACAACTAGCGACCACATACACAAACTGCATAGTCGAAAACTTTGAAGCAAGATTGCTTAAATACCTTTCGTATCTTAT